GAGAGAGAGAGAGAGAGAGAGAGAGAGGGAGAGACACACAAATTTTGTGAAAAATCAAGTTTTTTGAGCAGATTTTTTGGTTGTGTTTTTTTTTTTCAGTTATTTTGTGCGTTCGTTCGTAATCATCAAATTCTTGTTTATTTATGTGCTTAGTTTTTGATTCCTTCATTGGCGCTCTCTTCGCTTGTCACAGCAACAGTCGCTGCTGATGCTGCTGCTGCTGCTGCTGACGTAACACACGGAGTAGAACAGGTTGCCGAATTTAAATCGAACGGAAATCAAGTTGCACATATGTATGTACATGTATGCATGCACACATATAAGTAACAGCAAATCGTCAAAAGAATGAAAAATTCAATTACGGTAAGCGCACCATCTGGCCAACGACAGCACACATGTATGCATGTATGTATGTACATAATAAATACATAAGCACCTACACATGTACATACATACATACCTTCGCTACATTAATATGCCGGACCGCATTCAGTTTGAGCGATGTTTGGGCTAACTGGGCGCTAATAAAACCGTTGAATCAACGAGCGCAGCTTTTTATTGAAACATTTCGCGCCTGCTCTCATCAACCCCTTCTGCGCTCGCTCTCTTTTTATTTGGGTTGTACCGTTAAATGCCGAAAAGCGAAAGCATCCCAAAGAGCGCAGAGTCAATAGATACACGAACACTAGTCTAAAAATAAGTGTGACTGCGCTGCCAGCGGCACCAGAGCGCCCCTGAGAGAGGGAGATCGCGAGTGCGCGAGCTAACGGAGCAATGAGAGCCAGATGCTAATATCGATGCCAAAGATACTGTGGAGGAGATACGACACACACATGTGTGCACGAATATGTGCATGTGTGTATGTGTGTGTATCCACATGTGTACCTTAGACTGTTATAAAAATAAGCATCTTTAGCTAAACAATTGCAGGCAAGCTGCGAAGTCTGCCCGAAGTTCTAAGGCGCCAAACTTGAGTAAGATATGTAGAAGAAGTGTATACGTATGCATATGTGTGTATATGTAATGTACATATGTGCATATATATGTATTGTAGTATTATTATATATTTAAGACACTACACTACAATTTGTTTGTCTGTGTGTGTGTGTGTGTGAAGGTTAAAGCTCGAGAGTAAAATTGAAACATTTTTCAACTCAGCTTTATTGTTGGGGCTTTAGCATAATTTTGTAAATCAAGTTATTTTTAACGATTTTCAGTTTTCAGAATTCAAATCAAGTTCTCAAATCACTTTAATTGATTAATATTGTATAATATGTGTGTTTCGTTATCTCTATATACACGTATGTATTTGTGTTTGTATGTAGCCCAATTAGCATTAGATCATTCGAAAACTGGAAACACAGGGTATTTTTCTAGTCGCAGAAAAACGTTGTTTTTAAATTCATTAATTTTTTCTTTAGCTTATGCGTCACTTTTATATTTTTGGCACATTTGTAAGATAAAAAAAAAAGGTATAAAAAAAATGTCAAGAATATGCTATTCTTTTAAATAAATATTATATATAAATTTAAAAATAAAATAAAAACTGTTGCTCAAAATGGTTAAGACGCGCCGCGTGCTACCGTTTAAATATTAATTAAAGTATTATAATCAATTTTTGAATACGTTTCGTTTGTGTTCGCTCCGCCAATACGTGCGAAGCGGAATTCGTAGAACGACTGCGAGCAGGCAAAAAGTTTCGTATTGGCCTCTAAAAAAAAAAACTAAAGTTAACGTATGCCACAAGTGTATCTATTAGATGTGTTTCAATGTATCTGTATCTGCATCTGTAGCTGAGAGTTTTGTTGCTGTTGTTGTTGTTTGTACCTGTGAATGTTGTTCGCTAGTTGCTGGCCGTCTTACCCCGCCTACTCACAAGCAAACACAGCAACACAAACGTCAGAGAGGCAGAGAGTGAGAGCGAAAAAAAATTAACTGGCAGAATAGTTGGACCTTTTGTTGTTGTTGTTTGAGTTTTTTGAACTGCTGTGTGGGCTGCACATTACTAACACTACTAACAATTAAGTATTTGTGTAAATAGACATATATATAAATATATATATGCATAAATCTATATTGTTGATATTGCCTCGCTCTTTCTCTCTCTCTTGGTCTCTCCTACCTTTAGATTGAGTAGGCAGACAAAATTTAAATTTGAATTTGATTTTTGTTAGCAATAGATTTGTTTCTTTTGCTTTCAGCAATGTCATTTTTGTATAAATTATGAACGATATATGCGAGATTATATATAGAGCATAGCCCACGCCCACGCCAGCGGAAATGATGCTCAGGTAGTCTAAAAAAGCAGCATCAAGATCTTAGCTTTTTTGTTGTATTTTATTTTTTCTATGTTGTATATATATGCTTAATGTTGTCTATGTTTAGTTTGTATCTGCTGTTACAACAACAAATATAATTGATTGTGATGCGATCGTTAAAATTGTAATTAAGATGCATTGTTGTTTGTTCTTCATTATCAATTTTTGCACAAACACAAAACACCAGCACACACACTCACACAAACAAAAATTTGAGCATACAAAGAGAAATATACTAACAATTAAGTTGCTTTTAACTTATTCAATATTCAATTTCGATTTCAATTTTTAAACTGTTCGTAACGGCGGTTTCTGCTCAAACGGGCGTCGCAGAAAGAGCCGTTCATGCGCACACAACTGACAAGTTAGGCTATACGCGACCAAATAAAAATTTGAATTCAGAATGACAGCATTGCCAGTTGACAGAGTTCGAACAAGCTGACTGACTATGTGGTTTAACGGTGGCAGCTCTGTTCGCTGCATTCGATAACAAATTTTGCAGTTCATCTCTAGCGCGCGTTATTCTTTTGAATGTCATTCCGCTTTTCTCATTATAGTATATCGCATATTATTATGATTATTTGTGTTTTAATTATTTGAATCATTATTATTTCGCGGTCAAAATTTTAATTTTAAGGAAACTAAATTATTTAAAATACTGCAAAGGCCGAGCTCACTTATAAATTATGACCATTCTATTTCTCAAACTGATTCGAACCAAAGCATAAAATATATCTATCGAAATTAATTGTTAGCCATTTTTCCTGCAAAATACTTTTTTAAAGTCTAGTTATATGTATAAATTAAAATTTAAAATAAAATGTGCAATATACGCCTATCGATAGTGAAAGACCAATCGATTTCAAACGAAACCCTAGTGTTGCTCATCCCTAGTGAGCTCCAGAATATTTGCGTTACCCCCTTAGTGGAGTTTGTTTTCCTTTGTCGAGCAGGAATAGAAACTGCATCTAATAACAAAATAAATCCAACCAGCCCTAAAAAGCTACATAAACAAATACCAATCAAAAATGGATAAAGAATCAAAGGAGCAAATTAATTTGAAGCCCATCCGCAAGGAAATTATCAGTCCTGGCAACAAATACATCGAACTGAAGCCAGGCACCAGGGTAAGAAAAATTAAAATCACATAGAGGCAACAGTTGTGTGTGGCCAGCAAAATCCAGGTCATAACTGGGCCAAGGCCATGGCTGACAGTGTACAAATATTACAGGTTAAATTTCACTTCCAAACGCGTCGGGCCAATGATGTGCGAATCATTGACGATAGCAAGAAAATTAACAAGCCAATGGAGCTGGTCCTGGGCAAGAAATTCAAATTGGAAGTGTGGGAGGTCATGGTGCAGAAGATGTCCCTAAATGAGGTGGCCAAGTTCACGGTTCACAAATCGGTAAGCAAACCGTTAGCTATTAGCAATATAATAATTGAAATAATTCGATACTAATTATACTTACAGCTCTGTGCCCAATATCCGTTCATTTCGAAAACTCTACGGGATATTGGCAAGAAACCTGACGAGCGTCGCCACTGCTGTGGCATGACACTGCAGAACGAGGGCATGGGCTACGAGGATCTCGACGAGCTGCTGCAGAGGCCCGTCGACTTGGAGTTCACCATAGAACTGATATCGATTGAGCTGCCCGAGGAGTACGAGAAGGAGCGCTGGCAAATGTCCGATGATGAGAAAATGCTTGCAACGCACACCTTGCGGGAGCGCGGCAACCGGCTGTATAATGCGCAAAATTACGCCGAGGCGGAGATTTGCTACCGCGACGCCGTGGGCATGGTCGAACAGCTGATGCTCAAGGAGAAGCCTCACGATGCGGAATGGCAGGAGTTGGCTAACATCAAGGTTCCATTGCTGCTCAACTACGCCCAATGCCGTTTGATTGCTGGCGATTACTATGCGGTGATTGAGCACTGCAACGAGGTGCTGACGCTTGATCCGCGCAATGTAAAGGCGCTATTCCGCCGTGCCAAGGCACACGCTGGTGCCTGGAATCCGGCGCAGGCGCGCCGCGACTTTCTCGATGCTCTGAGTCTAGATGCGAGCCTGAAGACAACTGTCGCCCGCGAACTGAAGGCGATTGAGGAGCAGCAGCATGAACGCAACGTTCAGGATCGCATTCACATGCAGAAGCTCTTCTAGAATATAAGTTGTGCTAACGTACTGCTCATGCTCCTCGTTTATTGGAGCAACTATGCGCAGCGTTAACAGTTAGCCAATACCTTTCTCTTCTGGCAGAGTAGCTATATCTATACACTAGTCTTCTATGTCTCTAAGGGTTTTGTAATGCTCTGCCTTCTCTTCAATCAACTCTTGTGCTGCTGGATCATATTCAAGACTCTGCTCTTGCCCAGATTGAGGCGTCTATTCGGCTGAGGATGGGCGCCACAACGGTGCGTGTTTGGAAAGGCAACAATGAGATCAAATTCAAAATACACTCTGCCTCTGTTTTTCTCTCTTTATCTTCTTCTGCCCTGCTTCTGTCTGTGTTTCAATGTATCACTGTCTCTGTCTCTGTCTGTCGCTATCTCTTTCTGTGTTGAACCGTTAATGGCATTTAGCCTAGTTGTAAGCCTTTCGAGCCTTCATCTTCATCTGAAACGGTTTCTGCAAAGCCATTACTACGCCATCAATCGCCAAATATTGAAAGAAATGTATATGTTGTATGTAAATGTGTATTTAGGAATATTATCTATCATAAGTAAGGCCTCCACTCGAGAGCCGTCAAATTGTAAGTGTAACGTTAAAGCGAACCATGCCCGTCTGTATTATAAGTGTATGTGTGTTATATATATATATATATAAAGATATATATCCAGTTCCATGTAGGCTTATTATCCTAATAGCTAATTGTTCGCATGTGTAATAAACTTGTGTCTAATTGTTGTCAACGACTCCGTTTGCATTAGCATTGCATTGGCTAATCAAGCAATTAGAACTACTTAGCTAAATGGGCGTAACTAGTAATCGGGGGCTATTCAAACACTACTAATCTTAAAGCAGTTAAAATTGTTAATTGCAATCTCATTTAATTTCCAGAGTTCTTACTATAGAGTTAAGTAAGAAGAGTTACTAGACGAAATTGTTATATTATTGTTTACGTTAAGAGCTGATTGTATAATTTAAATGAAGTTTCAATTGTTTCTTACTCATTAATTAGCTTTTAGTAATTGAATTTGTATTTTTGTTATTTATGAACTTGCCCGACACTGTTGATTGTTTGAATTTGTTTATAATACACTTCTAATGGATATGTGGATAAACACATCAATTGCTTTTGCCTGATTGCATATAATATATGACACATATATATATATATTTATATAGAAATCATTATTTACACAGTTTGGTCTCAGCTCCAATTGTGGTACAGATTTCGTGCCCCAGCAAATGTACGAGATCGAGCTGAGTGCACAACAAGAAATCCGATTAACCATTCTTAACAAACATTCTTAACATGCCCAGTTATTTATACGATAAATGTTTAAACTTTAAAGTTAATATGCACAATAAATACATAGCATAGAGTTACGAATTAGACCGATAACAAATAACGAACTGTCTTTGGAAGCGAGCTTGCGGAAGTGCGGCAGCATCTAGAGGCGCCAGAGACGACTGCTGTTGCCGCCGGCGGCGCCTTCGGCCTCGCCGCGCAGCTTGTTGTCGTCTGTGCGCCAGACGAACGGCTCCAGGCGATCGTCGTCGTCCAGGAAGTTATTGATCGCCTCCAGGCTGGCGATATTCTCGTGCAGCAGCGAATTGCAGCGGCTCAGCTGCTGCGAGACGCCGCGTATCTTAGCGAACTGTTCCGCATACGAGGCGTACGTCTTCTGCATATCGACGAAGCTGGCGAAGAGCGTGGTGATCGAGTTGCTGACCACCTTAGTGCGTTCCACGAGGTGATTCTGCTCGCTGGCCACATGGCTGGCGCACAGATTCAAATGGGTCTGCATGCGGCTGCATATATTCAGCAGATGCTGCGAATTCAAGCGCTCCAGAATCTCGGGATCTCGTGTGTATGTCGCCGAGCTGATCGACTCCCGCAGCACGGGCAGGAACTGAGGTATGTTGCGCAGGCGCAGCAGATCCGGGTCAATATCGTCATTGATGTCCCGTGTGCCCGGCTTGACGATCACGATATTGTGACTGGAAGCCGTCGACTGCGGCCGCTTTGGCTTGATAGTTGTGGTAATGCTGCCAGGATGCGACTTGCGTGCGGCGGCCCGACTGGCACTGCTCTGCTGCAGCATATGGGCGGGTCGGTTGCGTATCTTGGGCGAGTCGCCGATGGGCCGATCCGTATAGGAGACATACGGCAGATCTGAGCACACGCTTAGCGGCGGTGAAGGCGGTCGGCTTAGCTCGGAGCTTGTGGGCGATGCGGTGTCCGAAATGATTTGCTTGCTGGCAATCACGATGCTAGCTGGTCCATTGCTAGCTCCATGCGGTAACGCTGAAGGCTGCTGTTGCAGGAGCTGCTGTTGCTGCTGTTGTCTCTGATGTACGGCGCCGCCCCTGCGTTTGTTTGTGGCTGCCGTCGCAGCCGCCGTCAGTGCCATGGCGCTGCCATCGCTCATTCGAACAGCTGCGGGATTGCTGGAGGATTGGGCCATGTTACTGACCCCAGCTGGATCGCGTCTTTCGAAGATCTCATGGCCGTCAGCCTCGACGCGCTGCTGCGAGTGCTCCGCACCCATTGCGCTTCAGCTGTTTGCTCTAAATATATTGATTTTATTTCCACAGCGACATTATTATCCCTCATACAGACGTGAGGTATTTATTCTGTTTTCTTACCAGCTTTTTCTATGCAATTTTACAAAATTCGTTCGATCTCTCTCGTTTGTAAATATAAAAACAGCTCTCGTGCGGAAATTTGTTTTTCTTTTTGTTTCCTTTTTTTCTTTATTTTTCCCGTTTTAGTTATTCATATCGAAAGTATCGATATTTTCAACCCAATGAGTGTTCGATATATCGAATAATTTTAGCTTCAGCTTTGTTGGTTTGAATTGCTGTTTGAAATTGGTAAGCTGTTACTTTTGTCGCTCACGTAGGGATATTACTTTTCAAGCCCCAATAAATAAGTTAGTTTATTTTTATATCAGATCTATTGATTATTGGTTGATTGATTGATTATTGACTATTGGTTATTTATATAAATAAATAAAAAATAAATGCACACAATTATAAATAAATAGATCGTTTTATGTAAATAATTAATTATTGATAATATAATTGTTGATTATTATAGTAATTAATATAAGCTTGACGATTTTATTTAACATATATAATAAGAAAAACAATCATAATTAATTCATAATGGCCAGTTTGTATGGTATATGATAATGAAAAAAAATAAATAAATAAATAAATAAAAAAAAAAATTGAAATAGTCTTGCCGATTAATACAGCTTTCAAGCTCGCTGCGCGAATGGCTTTGGGGATGGTATAGATTTAGTATTATCACTGACCAGTGGTATTATTGAGTAATTAGTTGAAATCGATAAATAGAATTATGAATCTAACTGCCACTAGCAAAAATCCTTCTGTTTGAAGGGAACTGTCGAACGAGTAAGTACGGGAAGGCGAAAATTAATCAAATTTCCAATTTGTGCTTGAAGTTTCCGTGTTGAAATCATAAATCAAGAAATTTGTCAAGAAAATATATTTGTGCAGCGCACTATCGAATCAAGTATGTACACCAATATCCTATTGCATTCTTTTTTAATGAAATTTAACATTTTGCCCCAATAAAACCAAAAACAAAACACAAACCAAACCTCACGTATAGCTAAATTTCGAGGAAAAACTTAGTGTTAAACTTAGTGATTGCCATGAATGAGAACAATCCACAAGCCCCGACTCAGCTACTGGCTAACGGAGTCAATCTTTTGCAACTGCAAGCCCTCAAATGGCTATACGCTCAGGCCCAGCAAAAGATTGCAAGTGGAGTTAATATGCCGGGAGTTGCCCAATCCAGTGGTCAGGTGCCACCAACTAATTCCGTTCAGTCGAGTCTGAACAATTGGCTCTCGGCCAACCAAGCCGGCGTTGGAGCACAGCAGCAGCAGCAACAACAGCCGCTTTATAATAACTTGAGCCAATGGGGTGCCGACGGCATCAAGCAACTCTACAATCATGCGCAGAGCGCCAACCAGACCAGTCTCCCACTCAACTTTGGGCAGTCGCAGAATAGCATGCCATTTAACTTTGGGCAGTCGCAGTCGCAGCCGCTGCAGAATAACTTCCCATTTAACTTTGGGCAGTCGCAGTCAGAGCAGTACCCTAATACCAACACCTTGTATAATATTTGGCAGTCAGAGCCGCAGTCGCAGCGGCAGCTACAGTCGCCGCAGTCGCCGCTGTTGTCGCAGCCGCAGTCGCAATGGTTGCCGCTGCCGCAGTCGAAGTCGCAATTGTTGCCGCAGCCGCAGTCGAAGTCACAGTTGTTGCCGCAGCCGCAGTCGCAGCTAATGCCACAGCAGCAGTCGCCGCTGTTGCCGCAGCCGCAGTCGCAGTCGCAGTCTCAACTGTTGCCGCAGCCGCAGCCGCAGTCGCAACTGTTGCCGCAGCCGCAGCCGCCGAAGTCGCCGCAACAGCAGCAGAATTTCATGGGCCTTGTGCCGCAGCAGCAGCCGTTTAGCGGATCTCAGGATCAATCCGGATCGTATTACCCGTACGGGCAAGCCCCATATTTTGGCTATATGGGAAATGGGCCAAGCATGGGTTATATGCCGCCAGGGCCGCAGCAGCAGAGCTTATACCCAGGAACGTCTGACTATAGCTATATGCCTTCGACATATGGTCAGGCCTATTGGGATCAGCAGGCCAATGCGAATTCGCTGCCTATTGGTGACTGCCCAATGCAGCCACGGCATGTCTATGTGAACGGCGCACTCTATAACGCGGAGCTGGTCGAACCACCCGTGGACTTTGGACCACCGCCACCATTCGGGCCAAACAATTCGTTATTGGAGACCGAAGAGGATTCCTATGATCCGATGGATGCTGTAAGTGTTTAATTCCTGGTCGACTTGGATTCTTTTCTATGTCCGTATTCCGCAGGTGATGCCGTCGATCTATGGCATACGCTTCTATAATCCAAATAATGGACCAGATGGCGCTATTCCGCCGCGTGTCCCGAGGAAGAGGAAGTACAGTCACAACATGTACATGAACTCCTGGCAGCCACCGAAGGCAGCCAACTGCTTTGGCCAAGGCATGCCGTGGTATAACAACGCCTATCCACCATACCCATATCATAACCTACCCACTGGCGGCAACTTCCCCAACTACGCTTACGACAACTCCGACGGCGCTGCCCACAACAACAATCGCAGCCAGCTGTCCCTGGAGATGCCGATGAGGGCAGATGCTGGGGCCAACGCCGGTGGCAATGCCAGCGCTAGCGCAACTCCCCAAAACTTTATACCGACATTGTCGCCGAACTCAAAGGCAAAGCGTCGTCAGGGCCGCAATCGTCCACGCGGCTACATCCAGTCGTTCGGCATAGTTGCCCCACTCAAGCACAACAATAATGGGGCCAAGAACAGCGCCGGCGATGCCAAAACCAATGTCCCGGCCGCAGCCGAGAAGAAGTCGCCAACCAAAAAAGCGGATAACTCTGGCTCAAACGACCTCGCTATAAAGTGGCCTTTGCTCGTGGAGAGCAACAAGCCCAACCAGAAATCCTAAGCGAAACGCAACTATTTTTTTTAAAGCCAGACAAGGAAAATGGATTTTCTTGATCTGATGTTATTTCATTATTTGATAATCACTGAAAATTTAAACATAATGTCAAAACTATTCACTAGTACAACTAACCAAACAAAATGAAATCAAAAATAAACGTCATCCAAACAGAAAACAAATCATTTCAATTCCACCTTACCGAAACGCACTGACCTATCATAACGAATTCTTGAGAAAGAAAAAACATTAGACCTAGATTTTGTGACTGAGACATTTGTTTTTAAATAGGTCTGGTCGTCTAATAAGAACTGAGATTTTCGGGATCTTTAAAAAAATATTGGACAATAAGTTTTTACCACTAAAGAAGGGCTCGTTAGTCTTAAAATATATTGGATTTTGTGATAATTGAAGATAACATTAGCATTCAATCGGATTTTTTTTTAATTTTTGTTTTTTGTTTTGCTACTGAGATATCTGCTATGGATATTGCGAATTGAAAGTCTTAAGGTATATAAATTTTGTAGACTTTTTTAATATTATCCAAAAGTTTTTGACATTTATGCATTTGCTATGGCAAAGCGCTTGATAGTCTTGAAAGATATGTAGAACAGATTTAGATAGGTCGATTGATAGAGGTAGCTATACAAATATATCATATATTATTGACAAAGCAAAATGTCTGACAGTGGAAAGAAAAATCTCCTCTAGTTACAATTATGGTATATTTTTGAAAAACCTATCAATTAATTTTTGCAGTATTAGAAATGTATCAGAATTCTCATGGAATTTAGGCCAACTCATACATATACATCTGAGACTTTCCAATTCACCAAATTATAGTCTGATTAACGCTTTATTGATGTGAGTTACAGAGCTACGGTGAACTGATTCACGATTAGTCCGATTTCAAAGACTATCCATTCTAGTTTAGAAAATATGCTCGTTTATTGATTGATGCTTAAATGTAAAATTAGTTTGTTGTTTTCCATTTGCGAAGTTTTTGGTCGAATGCCCTTCTTCAATGACTTAGATCTCATGACGCTGGCCGTGGTATGAGATCTGTTTCTGGGCGGGGGCGCGCTTGCCGAAGGGGCTCTTCGCGTTGACCTCCAACATGTAATCGCCCTGCAGGTCGTAGTCGACATCGATGCCCATGTAGGCGCGCTTGCCGAAGCCGTCGTTCTGCTTGTACTGCTTCAGGGATTTGGCGGCGACGGCGGGGAAGTTGCGCTCGCAGCCAGGACGCACCGACTCGGCAAAGTAGCGGGTGGCGCGCACGACAGCCTCGATGACGTTCTCGGAGCCAGGTGTACCCTGGCTGGGTCCATTGGGATAGAAGTCAACATCGCCGCAACGCACGGACGTGCCCATGCCCAGGCTGGAGGTGTGGATGACGTCGACGAAATCGGCATCGCCACGGGAAAGACCGACGAGGTAGTCACGACGCTTGGCCAGCATCTTGGAGGGATCCAGACCAGTGATGCGACGCAGCTTGTGGCCGGTGTGGCCGGTGTACTCCTGTCCGGCAGCTCCAGCAACATGAGCGCTAATGCCCTGCCCGATCAAATGGATAATCTCCTGGGGCACTCCCTTGTTGGTCAGTTCGATCAGGGTGTGGCCAACCATGGCACCGGTGGCGGGCACATCGAGCAGGGCGTAACGCTGGAAGGTGGTCAAAGTGTTGCCCAAGTCGATGATCTGCCCAATGGAAGGGAGTAAGTGACGCAATTCGTATATATTTATATTCGAACAGTGATGCACTTACGATCAAGTCGCCGGAAATGGTTTGGGCATTCTTCCACTCATCGGCAGTTTCCTCACTGGAGGTCGACTCGTACTCAGTGCTCTTCTGCTGCTGGCGGAGAGCGTGCTTCTGCTGCTCCTGCAGATTGTAACGCTGCAGGTAGGCTTGCTCCAGCTTCTGCATGGCTTTCTTGATGGTGGGCGTGGTCTGGGGCAGGCCAGTCAGCACAATGGTGACCTCATCCTGGCCGAAGCCGGACTGGGCAAAAGCCTTCTCCACATAGTTGCTCAGTTTGGCATCCACACGATCGCCATTGGACTTGATGATCCTCACTGGAATGTTGCTGGCGCTGGGCACAAAGCTGGGCGTCAGCTCGTTGTTGATTTGGGCGATGTGATCTAGATAGATGGATGTGTTTGCCACAGATTAGCAACGCCTTACAACCTATGCACTTATTGGACACTTACACATCTTCTCCACCAGCTGAGCTCCCTTTTGCAGGGGCATACTCTCCAGCCGCTGGAAGGAGACATCGTTCAAGGATGGCGTAGTTTCCAGCTCATTGGCGCTCAGCCAGTTGGTGGGCTTCAGCTCGCTCTTGGAGGCACAAGCGGCCGCAACCAGGCATGCCAGCAGGCACAGTCTCAGGCTCATATTGTAGGGCGTATTGGGCTAACTCAGAGATGAATGGTGTCCAAACGTTGATCGGCGTCTGATAGGTGTTGCCCTTCAGCGTTCGCTTTTTATAGCTGTGGACGCTTAAGCTGCGCTTACGTCGCAGGAAGTTGCCGCCGTTGTCAATTTTATTTTATTTTTGTGCTTTGGTTTTTTGCACTTTTCCATTTTTGCTGATCTTGGCAAGCGTGTGTGTCGCAAACCTCTCACCTAGATCAAAAAAAACTGTTTGAGTGTGCAATCAAACAACAACAAGGGCCATCGATTGCTTATCGCGGTTACCTTGGCAACCCATATTTAGGTTTTTGAACCCGCCAATCCAATCCGATTATGCCCGATCTGCCCACTGATTACAAATTGCAACGCCGCTTCCTGCAACAAAGTTGTACAAAGTTGTCTTTTCAATTTCCATTTAAATGCAAAAAGTGTGACCATATAGCGACAATGCAACGGCATTTCGGCAACGACATTTCAATCGATTAACGAGCTGGTTATCGATGCAAGTGCCACACTTAAATTTTAATTTTTCGCTTTAAAATGTAGAGTGAAATAATAAACCTTTATCTTTCGCAATCTGGTATATTTTATTCATAAAAAATAACAGTTTATATATATGTATACATATATAATATATGTATTTTAGTATTTTGCTGTTCAATAAACTTGGGCCTGTTTTGCATAGCTAAGCAAAAACTTATCATGTCTCAACTTTTTATTATACCCTGCAACTCATTGCAAGTGGGAAATCAGGGTAGAATTGTTTAGTAGAAAGTATGTAATATGCACAAGCAGGCGTGGCAGACTTCACAAAAGCTATATATTTTTGATCAAGACAATAACCAGTGTCGTAAGCCGCAAAAGCTAGTCTTGACATTTTGATCTTTTACGTGACAATACGCACTATAGGAATCCTATAATATAGGAATCCTATAATAGGATATCAATTTCTGAGATGACTCATCCCATTTCCTTATTAGCGATAATAATATATAGCTCATGAGGTCTCGCTTACCGTTAGACGTGGACATTTCGTAGAAGAATTTTCACTTCAGCTTTTTGCCGGGCTCAATCAACCTTCTAGTCGATTAGTCTCCACTAGAGCACTCTTGCTTATTATATATTTATATTATAAATACATGCATATGTATTTCAATAAATATTGTTAAAATTGCATAACATATAAAAATAAATTTTAAGCAATTTTATGTTACAAAAGCATATACAGGAAATACCAATGCTGATGAAGTTTTTATAATTCTGCAATTCGAACTTTTTTTGCGCTAAAATCCATTTCATAATTATAGACATCGCTATCCATACATATATGTACACACATTATATAAATGTATTTATTTATCTGTATCTAAATGATTATTTTAAAAAATTTTTACAGAACACGTTTGCTTATGTTCGTGTAGCCAATGCCCACACAGGTGAGAAGCACTTTTTGTGCGCCGCGCACATCGTCCTCGCCATCGTCATCCGCCTCGGGATTCTCCAGCTTGAATGTGATTGAGAAGAAGTCACGCAGATGCTGTAGGAAATGCACCGTGTATGTGGAGAGTGGACCTGAAATACGGGCGGAATGACGGAGTGTTAGTCGAGTAAAAGGCATTGATGAAAATGGCATTGCGGCACCTGTTAGGAATTTGGAGACGTGCTTCTGCCCGAGCGCCATATAGAGAGCGGCCAGCCATTGGTAGGCAGAATCACAGCAGCCGCCGCGATAGATTTCGTCTAACAGACGCATGGCGACATCTCGCCCCAAGTCTTCTGGTATAGATGGCGTCTCCTGCAGAGCAAATCAAATGTTATTTAATTGGAAGTGGGAATTCCAAGTGTGGGCACTCACCGATTCCTCTCTGGTGTTGGAGATGCAATCAGCAGCGAAGCAAACGCCGTCTGTGGTCTCGGCCAGAAGACAGATCCCGAAACCAGGCGAGTTGCCTGACAGTTTGCCACGATTTTGATCCGTGTAGATGTAGACGTCGGGCAGGAACTTCAGCATGCAGCCCTTGGCCGCCTCCACTGTACGGTTGGCCATCGCCGGGGAAACCTTGCAGGCGTAGACAGTGCCGCGGATACGCTTCACCATGCCCTGCTCTTGAAACTGTATGGCTCGAAGGCTTTTGCGCACAGGACAACTGAAGAAGACCTCGCCGCCACCAAGGGGCGCGACGCCGCGACGCACGACGCGCAGCTCCAGACCCTCGTCGACCAGGAGGAAGCGTTTCAGCAGCGACAGGGCAGCTCCTTTGATATGATCCACCGACGGCGAGTCCCTGCTGTTTGTCACGCCACGCAGCGTGCACTGGAGCGGGAACTTGCAGAACGGACCCAGTGCAATCAGTGCATCCAAAAAGTAGCCAATGCCACGCTGCACACAGCAATCGTGCTGCAGCGCACCGCCATGCAGCAGACCGGGACTGAACATGACACTGGTGCCGGCGGTATTTAATTCAATTTTGGTGCCGTTTGTCAGCTTGTCGAGCAGACGTATCAGGCTGATCTCGTATTCCCGCAAACCGGGTGCTTGCTCATCGTCGGCGCGGATTTGTGTTATTTTAACTGGTTTCCCACTGAGGCAGGATAGCACAAGGCGCTGCTTCAGGAAATTGCTGCCGCGATATATTAGGCAATTGCCTTCCTGTGCAATTGGCGGCATAATTTCTTATTATATTTATAAACACAAAAAAGAAACAGAACCTATCCTCAGCGTTTGCACGTGCGTCCAAATTGTAAACAATAGGTATGGCATAAGCTCGATAACAAGCATAATAGATATATCGACTAGAATGCATCTCTTCACTGTAAATACATCAAACATTCAAACTGGCAAAAGCAGACTACCTAGAATAAAAAAAAAAAAAAGATGGTTCTTTACTTACTTACAATCCGCAAGGATTATATTAAGACACTAACCAGTGTTTAGTGGTTTGTGATTAAGATGAAGAGATCGTTTTCAGAAACTCAATGTTAATTTAAAAACTGATTCGAATCGAGCCAACCTTTTATTCACAACAAATAATTGCCAACTTAAATAAATGTTTCATAATATATCTTTGCTATTACATACATGTGTTGTAATTTTTATTTAAAGTTCATAAATGCACTGCTGCTTATATATTTTTTTTTCCGCGCACTGGCAATATTTACTATGGCAGCGCCAAAAACAATATGACCAGCCCTTGTGCACATCTTCAGCATATTTTTAGTATTTTTTTTTTTTTTGAGCTGGCAATAGTAGTGTGTTTCCCTCCGATATAAACCCTCAGTCACACCAAATAACAGATGTTACTCTCAGTGGAATTGTTGTCGTGTGCGCTTCGTTACGGATATTTCAAGTCTTATACCCCAAATACCTTTCTTATTGAAAAAAAATAATAATACTGAATTTTGCTATAACTTCAGTAAAGTTGATATAAAATTTTTTTTAAAGTTGACTAAAACAAAAAAAGAAAAACTAATTGAGTTGATAAGAAAAGTCTAATTGGACGCCGACTTGCAGCGCGCTAATCCAGCTCTTTCATACATACGTACATACACGTGTGTGTGTATAAGAGTGCATTGCACGTTTTAAGCTCTTAACTACGAGGGTGTCGAATAGGCATTTTGACATTATCTGCTATTAACGCATAGCATCCGTGATCGTCAATATTTTTTGCAAGTTACTTAAATCAAAAGTGAATGGTTGAAAGCAAGAAACAAATATAAAAATCAAAAAGTATTTTTCAATTGCATTTTGTGTGCATTCTATTGCGAGCAAACCCACGCGTTGCAGAGAAAACACAGAACCACATATACACACACACACAAGCAAACGCATTTACACTCACACAAAAATCCTATACATACAGACGATTTTCAACGCCAAAAGCAAGTTGCCAAACAAACAAAAACAAAACAGGCTCCAGCAGTTGCAGGCGCGCCAACATCGTCGTCGACGTCGCTGCATTGAGCCCAACGTCGACGTTGTTTTTGTTGTTGTCGCCGCGAGTGTGAGGACGCAAACGGACAGAGAACAAAAGGCAATCAAAAAGTACACACGCTGAGGTAAGTGAGAATTAAGTCTCATGTGGATATGTATGGAGTAATATGTAGAAATATTTAATTTATATATTTTTTGTTTATATGTATATGTATATATATATTATTATATAATTTGAAACAAACAAAAACCGGCTTTTACCGGCAATTACCGCGAAGCGAAAATGAATCCATAATAAATGAAATACTTGTACTATATAAATGTATATGTATAAGTATACAGTTAAAGAGTATGCACACATATATGTATATATTTGTATATATGCGCACATATATATTTGTAAGTTACATGTGCTGTTACATTAGCTATTGCATTTCCAATTGATGCAATATATTTAAATTTAAAATTAGATTTCGAATGTTGTATATGTATATGGCGTACGTGATAAATTCGACCGGCATTCACGCACACAATCAACCATACAGCTTCACAAATTGATGGGGTGGAGAGGGCGGCCCGAGAATACAACCATGCGCGCCAACTTGTTTTTCTTCTTCCTCTTCTCTTATGCTCGTTGAATTTGTATTCGGCAAACTTCCAGCTCATTCCATTTCCATGTGCGGGTCATCATTGGCGTTGCCACTGTTGCAAATTTCCTTTTGTGTGTTGTTTATGTTCTTAATGTATGCTTGCATACATAAATTCATACTTACATACATCTACATTACATAATGGAATACAATTTGTAATTTTTTTTATGAATTCAAATATACACACAAATATAGGTGCATACACATATACATACATACATACATATGTATATCTACATATTATTAATTTGAGAAACCATAATGTAAACAAATACAATCGTCGTGGGTAGTGTGTACTTATTTTTATAGATGTTACTGTTTTTAGTGAAGCATACTTACCTATGTTAATTATGCTGCTGTTCTTGCTCTTGCGGCTGCTGCTGTATTCGCTTCTGCAGCCGTTGTCTTCATTTTTTGCGACGCAATTTCGGCAAAGCGTCGTTTTATGCTCTTTGCAGAGAATTTCGAAAACAATTACAAGCACGCACGAAAACAACAATAATGTGTGTGTGTATGTACATATATGTATGTATGTGCTTAAGTTTATATATCTACATACGCATTTATTTATTTTAAAAACATTGCCAAATTTTGAAATGGGCACTCCTGCTGAATTGCAACGGTGGTTGGTTTTTGTTTTGGGTGTGCTTGCAGAGGAGGCACAACAAGTGCGAAACGGAGGCAAGAACAACAATGCAGTGCGGCAATAGCATAGAAAGTTTGTAAGAGGGGAATCATTTTCAAGGTTAAACCGGGCAAAACAAACATCAAACCGGTTACAGCATATAAAACCATGTGTGTGAGTGTGCTTTTATGTATTGAAGAGAAGGAACATGCGACGCAATAGCATAGGATTTATTATGTATGTAATACACATGTATTTAAAACTCACGTTAATATACATATACATATGTACATATGTACTTCTTTACACTGCCTATCCATGTGCAGTTTTACAAAACAATACAATAACAAAATTAAAAGAAACGGTGCTGTTCTCTACGTATGTACGTACGTTTATATCCAAACACAACATACATACATACATATGTCGATGTATTGACATTTCTCTGTTAGTACACATATCCAATGCTCTGTGCACAGACAAGCACAGCACATATCGATAAATGTGTCTGTGACAAACTTCGTTTAAAGTTCACTTATTGAGAGCAACAGAGATGGCAATAATGTTAGTCAATTGTGAGGGTTGGAAAGCTAACGGCGACGTTTATGCTTGCTGAATTTGTGACCTTGAAATTGTCCAGGCTGCCAGTGAGAGTTTGATATGCGTATCTGACATATCTTCATATGAACATACATACATATACGTACATATGTATATATTTACATATCCATTCAAACATATTGGTCATAAGATAATATATATATATATAATACATTGCTCGTGAGCCCCAAATATACATACATACATACATATATGCTTCTCGGACTTTAGGTATACAAAGTATGAATGCAAATAATTATGAATATAAACATTGTCATACACAGTCTGCGTTTACATACATTGTATGTACATATGTATGTATATATACGAACACAAGTATGTTCGTATTTGCCTCGCACAATCATTTTGGCAGTCTCTTTGCAGTAAATCACGGCACTTGCATGCGAATGTAACAACAAAAAGAAGCACAACAAAAACAAATAACTATGTACATAAATGCCAATATTGTTTATTTATAGTTTTTCAGCGACGGCCGCCGTATCGCTATTGCTGTCTTTTTCTAGTCTAGTCAGCCGCCTGTTGTGCTTGTTCGGGTGTGTGAGTGATCACAACAATATACATATGTATGTATGTATGTAAGTTAGTACATATACATATGTATGTATGGATAGATGGCGCAAGACTTTGGGGCGACTTTACATGCATTGTCCACGTAAAGAATCGCTTTTATGAATTATTTGCATATGCATGTAAACAGTTATTCATTGGGATTTGCTTCCTTCAGATTTAATAATTTTATTTAATTTACAATCCATTTACATTGTAATATTATCGGTAGGGGGAATATAATGGAAATGGATTATCCATATATCTCCAGTATTGCATAATTTTTTTTCATTGTCAACAATTACTAAAATATAACATAATGGTATTACAAAGAAAATAAAAATCTACTAAGTTGACGTTCACTAATATCTCACTCTTGTTATATTATTTCCTTGTGTTTTACAGCAACCGATTAAGTCAAGAGCAAGCAAACTTAACAAGGAGCACAAGAAAAGTGTAGCACCTGGTCACACGGTACAATTAACAAACTAGAGATTGAGAAAGAGTGAGCGATACATATACATAAATATAAGGTTCCACGAGGGTTACGGTGAGAAGAAACTGTGTTTCTTGCTCTAACTGTTGTTGTGCATTCCAAGAAGAAACAGCAGCGAGAAAAATCCCAAGCGATAGAGGGAAAGGGAAAGGAGAGAAGAGAGTGTGTGTGTATTCAAAGTAGGATCAAAGCGGATAGTATATAAAGGAAGTGAGAGATCAGAAAACAGCAGAATGGAACTGGAGTCGAACACCAACCAGAAAGCTAACGGCGACGTTGCCAGCAATGGCGGCTCCGACTCAAAGGAGAGCTCCGTGGAGCGGGAACTGAATGGCGAGATTGAGGCGGTAGAGCTGAACGGCGGGCCCTCGAATGGGCACAATCACATCAAGAAGCCCTTGCCCGTGGGTGACGGCCATGATGGCCGCATCAAGCGAAAGGCCAAGCGCCTCATCCAAAGACAGAACAGCGGTAGTGGCAGCGGTACATCTGCCACATCCCTAACCAATGGCGTCGCTACTGCTGGAGGCGGGGTTCTTCCGAGCATCGCCAGTACCACGGTGTCGTCGCTGGCCAACGGCATATTGCCATCCGGTACGGGCTACGTGGTGCCGCATCGGCGCTGGAAGAATAGCCGGAGATCCCGTAATTTGACACGTGGGCGGGGCCTGCCCAAGAAGGGCGGCGCCGGCGGCAAAGGAGTCTGGGGATTGCCCGGATCGGAGGCGCTGGCCGAGGTGTACGAAGATGAGAATGATCCCAACTATGACAGCGAGGTCAACGATCGGAATGTGGAGCTACGCGAGGTCATCACCGAACTCACGCCCGAAGAATTCTTCAAGCTCGCCGAGCCGATCGTGCTCGAGTACTACGAGCATGGGGACACCCACGAGGTGGCCGTCAGCTTTGACGAGATCTTGCAGAGCCCGCTGCGAGAATACATCACCAGCATCCTGGTCGAGATTGCGATGGACCACAAGGACTCGCAGCGGGAGATGACCTCGGTGTTAATCTCAGATCTCTATGGCCGCGTTATCACCGGCAAGGACATCGAGAAGGGCTTCAACATGGTGCTAGCCAATCTGCCCGATCTCATACTGGACACACCCGAGGCACCAGTCATGCTGGGCAACTTCATGGCCAGAGCCATAGCCGACGACTGCATGCCGCCGAAGTTCGTCAGTCGACCTGAGGAGCACCAGCAGATGAACGAATACGCCGAGCAGGCGCTGCGCCGGGCCGATGCGTTGCTCCACAAGCAGGTGTGGGCCCATCTGGATAACGTCTGGGGCATGGGCGGACCCCTGCGGCCAGTGAAAACCATCACAAAACAGATGACCCTCTTGCTCAAGGAGTATCTGTCCTCCCGCGATGTGGCCGAGGCGCAGCGCTGTCTGCGCGCCCTCGAGGTGCCCCACTACCATCATGAGCTCGTCTATGAGGCCGTCGTGATGACACTCGAATCCTTAAGCCAGACCACCGAGGAAGCCATGTGTGAGCTACTCAAGTCGCTCGATCTAACGTGTCTGGTTCTACCAGCTGGCATGGAGCAGGTCAGTAAATCGTTCCATATCTATTTCCACCGACTGTTTTAAAACTAGAGCAACCAAAAGCAAAACAAAACAAAACAAATTAAATTTAGAATAGATTAGATTTAGTGAAATACAAAAACAAAATGCAGCCGTTAATCGTCGCGATGTGACCTCTTTGGAAAAATACCAAAAAATAAATTAAAATATATAGTATGGTATAAATAGATATAGCAGAAGCTGGGGGAACAGTGATGCGAAATGTTTTTCAAATATAAAAAATAAGAATTTGTAAATGTGTAAAAAATGTTGAGCAAACAGAACTAAGGAAAAATTTTTAGGATATGAGAAACATCGAGCAAACCAATAGAACATATCGGGCAAATAGAAGCAAAGACAATAATTAAAAGTATAGAAAATAGAAGAACAAACAGAAGGAAAATAATATTTTAAAATACGAACAAATGATTAAAATATAGAAAATATCGGGCAAACATAAATAAAGTTAATAATTTAAAATATAGAACATTTTAGGCAAAACAGAAGCAAAGCTAATGTTTTAAAAAGTGTAATAAATAACGAACACAAATAAAAGCATTGATCGAGGCGCAGCCAACTTAATGCGTAATCAAACCATCTAGTATTGCCAGATTATTTAACTTGTGAGTGCACGATATCTAGAAATAAACCAAACTAGACTAGACACTGGTCTAGTATTACCGGTGAAAATAAACTTTAATTTCTGCTGATACGAGCACGCACATGTCTGTACATGACATAGATATGACTAGTACATCTGTATGCACTTATTATATCAATGTTTATATTCGTTTGATTGGTTTTGATTGCAGGGCTTCATGCGCGTCTTTGATGACATGGCGGATATTGTGCTGGACGTGCCATTGGCGTATATAATACTCGATCGATTTGTAGAACGATGCAATCGTGCCGGCTTCCTAACCGACAAGATTATCAACAATGTGCCATCGCGGTAAGTGTGGGTGTGCTAAACACTAAACACCCCATCCCCACGCCCCCTTATAAGTAGTACGCCCCCTTATAATGATCGGCATGCCAATATACTTATTCGTTCATTGTGTGTGTGTGTTTGTGTGCAAGCAGGGCCCGTTGTTCGGGCCCACCTGTAAGCCACGGCAAGAACAGCAACAACAACGTTTAGCAGCCGTCAGCCCAATAAAGCAAAAGCAACAAAAATAAAAACAAAAACAATTTACTTTACGTAATCTTGTCAGTCAGAGGCGGCTCCCCCGTCAACAATATATAGCCCATTATTTAGTCTTGCTGTTTTTATTATTGTTCTCAGCTTTGTATACATACATATACATATGTATGTCTGTATATACAACAAATAGCCATGTATACATACATATATAGCTATATGCATGGATATGTATATGTAGAATGCACATAGATATGTGTACACATACATGTATGTATAAATGTGGACACCCCATCAACTTGTTTTTGATTTTGTGTTTTTTTTTTTTTTTTTTTTTTTGCCGGCATTTTGCGGCTCCCCTTCTTGACTTGTTTGTTATTTTGTGTGTCGCCCGTTGCGTCGTTCTTAGCTGTTGTTTTTCTTCTCCTTTTGCTTTTGACTCATTTTCTCAATTTTGTGCTGCGTGTGAGTAAGTATGTGTGCCGTCTGTCGCTCTCTCTCTCACTTTGCATGCGTGTATGAGTGTGTTTGTTTATGATATTTCTATTGCGCAGTTTGATTTTTGCGGCAAGGCAACGTTGGCTCTGCTGGCGTCGGCAGCGTCAGCGTCTACGTTAGGTTGGGGCAGTCGCAGGCGTTGTTTGAGGGGCCGGTTTATCAGCGCCGGTTAGTTATTATTTCAAAGTATATATGTAAATATATATATATATATTTGTACATACAAACATCAGCTTACGTATACTCTTTAAGAAATACATATGTATGTACATATGTATGTGTGTATGTTTATTTTATCAGATTTTACGGCCAAACAGGTATAGAAAAGTTTTATTTTTATTGATTTTGTTTTGGTTAGCGGAAAAATGGAAACTAAGTATATTTTTACATACATATGTATGTATTTATTTTATATGTGTTTGGAATTATTATCTACATACATCCATAGTATGTATTACATACATATATATGTATGTATATATTTCAATATTCTGCGAAAAAATATCGAAAGCTCTTATTGCAATTTTTTCTTATTAACACACTTTTTAATCTAAATACTGAACATGATATACATAAACAGACATACACATTGTATATGTCAGATGATCACCGCAATAGAGTAAACAGTAGTCGTACTGGGAAAAAATAGAATATTAGATAAGTAGTTTCTATTTACTATTGACTTCTAAGATATGAAGCTGATTTCGTTATTTGTTTACCACGCAACCTGCATTATTTATTTATTAACTCGTGTGACTCGTTTTCAAATTATTTAGAATTTTTCAGACAAACATTGTGCGTGTGTGTGGAGAGAGGGAGAGCGAGATGGTGTTTATATCGATAATACGTATCGATTGCGTGGCGCTGGTCACACTTACACACACTACTAGAACATAACAAAGTTGGCATTGATATCACAAATAGTTGTTATAGTTGCTGTGATAGTTAGGGTAGGGTGGTGATGGTGGATTTTGTTGGTGGTGCAACAACCTGCATGTGGCTCAAGATCGTGAGTCCCATGGAGAAGGTAAAAATGGCGGCTAAGCGACTGCGACTGCTTCTGCCTTGACTATAGCCGTAGACGTAGTTGTAACCGTTGCCATTGCAGTTGCAGTCGCCGCTGTTATCGACCTGCTCTGCCACACCCACAAAACAAAAGCAGCACAACAACAACAACAATATGAACAAGCTAGTAGGCAGTTGTTGTTGTCGTTGTCGTTGCTGCTGCTGTAAGCTTAGCTGCCGTCGTTGCAGTTGTTGGAACTGCATTTTGCATTCGCCTTGGCTGCGGCTGTTGCTCTTTGGCACTTAACATAGCCACAATGAAAAAAGCACCAACTACTATGACAGAAGCATTTACATTGTACACACACACACACACACACACACACGCTCACACACTTGAACGCTACTGCGACAACGTGTCCCTCAATACCCTATAAACGATGTGCTGTATGGTGTATGCTGTGCTTGTATATGTATTATGATTATTATTATTATGTATATCTATTATGTGCAAACAGAGTATTGGACAGTCAGGCACATAACCCTAGTGCTTTCATTTGTCGTTTCTTCTATCTGTCGCACTATCGCTCGCATGAGCTAACAATAATTCGCTGCCTATACTCTCCATAGTTGATCGCCCAATCTCCAAATTGTGCTTGCTTCATATTACATATATTCGCATACACATACATACATATTCATGCAGCAGAAATAGAGCTTTCAAGTTGATGTAGGTTAAAATTTGATACTGGCCTGTTCGGCACTTCAGATAAACCAGCGAAACTAGTTTCTAGTTGTGTAGTGCAATCTGCGCACCTCACCTCCTCCTTCTCACCCACACATACAGACACACACACATGCACAGGCTAGTCGTAACACAGCTGTTTTGTCGCTGCAGTTTTTCGTTCAGAGAGGAGTAAAAAGGGTCAACGGTTGAATAAACTCTGCTGCAAATTCATTCGAGTAACGCGTCAAGATTTGTTGTTGGGGCTTTTTTAGGACATTTTCGTTGTTGTTTTTGTAGTTTGATCTCACTTGCCAAATTCGCAAAATGTATTTTCGTAATGTGATTGTGGTATTTTTTGTTGTAATTGCTTTTCGCATTGCATAATGAGTGATGTGCGTTGTTTTTATGGTTTTGCACGGAATATTTTATGCACAAGCGAATGATGCAAATCAGAATATTATTTTGTTGCCTAAAAAACTAAAATTTGTAAAGTCTTAAAAAGGAAGGATGAATGCATTCGATATATTGATTTGATATATTGATTTGAATTTTTGAAGTCTGAAAAGGCAATTCAATAGTACTTTTAGTATTTTTGGTCTGCATCAATTGATTTTATTCTCTGTTCTGATTACAGTGGACGCAAACGATTTGTCTCTGAGGGCGACGGCGGACACGTTAAGCCGGCAACTTTGCCTATGCGCGACTAAATAGCAAGGATCGAATGACTTCAATTTGGGGCAGTAGGAGCAGCAGCCGAAGCAGCAGTAGAAGCAGCATACAACAATAACAAAAAAATATGAAAGAAAAAAGATCAATATCACAAAACAAAATACCGTTAAACGCAAGCAACAACAACAGCAACAGCTTAACACACAAAACTTAAGAGACGAAGATAGAATGATAGCTGGAGGGAGGGGAGAGAGAGACAGAGAAAGAGTATACAAAGAAAAAGTTGTTTCTCTTGTTGTTGTTGCACATGGAATAATAAAATGAGAACATAAAATAAAAATAAAACTAAAAAAAAAAGTAACTACAAATAACAATCAATCGGAAATTGATCTCCGTTTAAACTATATGAGTAATATATACATATGCATGCATACATACATACACATATATATATATATCTACCTATAAACAAAATTATTTTAAAAATATTTTTAAAATAATGCAACAAAAAAGAATATGGAAACAACGACAACAACGGAAACAGCAATAAACACTACATACAAACACTTAACACACACTCACAGGTCTATAGACAGACACCAATACTTTCGAAGAGCGAGTGCAGGAAAGCAAGAGATAGAGAGAGAGAAAGAAAGAGTGCGCGCGAAAAAAGCTGATGAGAGCAATTTTCGTCGCTGCCGCAGCTGCAGGCTGCAGGCTGCAGCAGTAAATGGAACTGCAAACATATTTACTTATACGAAACTGTTATACACACACAAATTCACATGAACACAATCACAAACTGAAACACAGACACAGAGACACCGTTATTATTACTAGACATTTAACACACAACTAAAATTTATTAGAATATACAACTAAGTCTAAGAGAAATCCATGCAAGCAAACAAAAATGAATAGTTACAGATTATATTACGATAATTGTGTTATGTTTAAGTTTTCATGCGACAGAAAAGAGAAGAAAGCAGCTAACGCAAACAAATGAATTCATTATTCACATATTCACAGATATACTTAATATTTATGTTTGGCCCCTAGAAAACATTTCAAATATGTGTATTTTTAAAATCCGGCACATCGATTTCAATTCCAGATTCGTTAAATCTCTTTTAACTTTGTATTACAACATTTGCGGTTAGTTTTTTTGATTGTATTTTACATTTTACACGTTTCAAGCACACACACATATATAAACACATACACACACAATCCATTTTTACCATTGGAGCAATAATGCAAATTGCAAGAGCAGTTTCTTACTTTTAAGCATAAGAAACAAAACAAATATTCGGTCTTGTTGCGAGAGAAGACTCAGCCCTACAAATTATCTACTTATTATCATTATAAACATATACGACTACACAATTTTTTCTTCTTTGTAATGCTCGCATACACTTTGAATAAATACATACATATATTTTATGCACATTAAAAAAAAAAAAAAAAAAAGCAAAAGCTTCCATCGTTTTCTTACGTTTATTTGTATAACAGTTTGAGAGTATTTGGAAAGGCTTCGACAAAATTTTTCTTTGATTTCTTTTGTATAAAAATGTAAGAATATTATTTTTTTTGCTCTGCCTGAAAATTGAATAATTCCGATTTTTTTTTGCTTTTTTTTTTTAAATAATTTGTAAGCGCTTTGAACGCAACTGTACTTTGCAAAAATTGTCGTGCGAGAGAGCAACTTGCACATACGCATATTATAGGATATTACTATACATATACACGCATATATATATATATATATATATATATATGAATATTATATTATTATATATATTATATACAACTATTGTGTTACAAATACATACAAAATAATAATAAAAAGAGAACATAAATACATTAAAGTTTCAGTTTTTACTCTTTACCTAAACCCAAAGAAAAGAAAAATATATAAAAAAGAACCGCTGTTGGCCGGCTGGTTAGGTGGTATCTGGCGGCTCCAGCTTCACCTCGCATCAGGGTCGCCCCATCCCAACAGACGAGGGCAGCATCACTGAGCTGATGGAGGCAGTGGAGCTGGCCATCGAACCGTGCATCTGGACGTGTTTGCGGTAGTTGGTGAAGTGTTCGAGGTATTGCTTGACCGTGTCCATTGGCTCGTAGAGGTCGTTCTGCTTGGCGTGCAGCTGCTGCTGGCCCATGGCATTCATGATGGTCTGAGTGGTGAAATAAGTGGGATACTCCTTGGGCACGTTGATGCCGAGGAAGCCTTGCAGCATTTCGCGTATCATTTCCCAGCAATAGGAGAGTGTGATGCAGGGCCTGTACTCGATCTCGATGAGGATGCCCTTGAAGTGCTCCATCATGGTGACAGAGCCGAGCTTGATAACAAAATCGCCGTACTCAAAGCGGGCGCCGCGCGACTCAATCTTCGTTTGCTTCTTTGATGTGAATATGGAAGTCATTTTAAGCATTAGCAAGTCGAAAATGTTGTCGGCCACGATGGCCACTTGCTTGCCGGTGCCATTGTCGATTATGGAGAACGTGGAAGCCGGATACTCGGAGTTGTGCAGCACATGCACTGCTCGAGCCGGCGTCCCGTGCTGCGGCGTCGAGATGAATGTCTCGCAGTCCACCAAAAATTGGCCGGCATGCGATGCGCCCAGCGAGAGTAGACGCTTGCCAAGATGGTCCATGATGTGGGCTCCAGACTTGCCCTCTGGCAGTGGATATGGTTGCAACACGGTTACGCCCATGCTCAATCAATTTCGATTGCTTTCTTTTTGTTTATTTTTCTATGAGCTTGCTACCGTTCAGTACACTGTATAGTAAGTGTGACCAGAAATGTGTGCAGCCAAAATCTCGAATGTCAAAATACCAAATTGTTGCCGAAAATGATAGTATTTCTATGATTTGAAACCAGTTTGTGTTTTAGCTGACTGGCAACGCTCAATTCTAATATCAAAATGTTTACATTTAAGAAAAATAATTGTAATATTAAAATTAATAAAAATACGCAGGTCAAATAATATTTTATGTGAATGTACTCAATGAGTTGAGCTATAGAACCTCTGAATGCGACTGCATTTGTTTATAAGCTCGTACTTCACGTCCACCACCAACTTGTTGGTCGCTGATTTAACGATACTATCGGTAGTATCATCACTTGCTCGCGTATCGGCGTGCGGTGGTGTAGCCACAGTGGTCGCTCTCGGCAGAGCAAACTGCGTCGTTTGTTTATGATAATAATAATTTAGTATCATCTAAATAACTCACACGCGCAGATCGGCAGTGTGTTTGGCATCGAATGACCTATATCCATATCCGTATCCATCATAACCGTGAATATGCCGATGTAAAATGAACGCATTGCGCAATATTTTTACGTCGCGTACGCTCAACTATCTACGCCAGAATGGACAGAATGCGATCCTCAATGCCACACAACAGGGACCAGTGGCGCTGTCCGATGCCGATGCCGATGTGGACAAACCGCTGAATGAAGTCCAACGATCGACGCTATCCATTCCGCGTTCCATTCTCGACGCCTGTCGCTTTACGGCCAAGCCGTTCGAGATTACGGGCAGTGTTGCTGGAGCCAAGCCAAAGGGCTCCTTATCGCCGACCACGCTGAAACGCTTCCGGCGTATGCAACGACGCATGGAGATCGTGTACCTCTGCAAGTTGTGCAACACACGCAACACGAAGACCATCAGCGAGGAGGCCTACAACAGTGGCGTGGTCATACTCCAGTGCGATGGCTGTGCCGTCGATCACTTGATCAAGGACAATCTGGGCCTCTTCTCCAATAGGGATGGCAGCAGCAGCGCCAGCGGAGGCAGCTGGAATATCGATGAGATCCTATCGAATCGCCAGGAGAAAGTGCGCATCATCAAAGTGAATGAGCATGGTGAACTAATCTAGTTCTAGTCAGGACAGCGATGCAGAGTCATCGTGTCGTCAACACTTTTGGAACGTGAAGGAGAAGAAAAATAACCGAAGAACCAACTTAAGCCTCAATTTTTTGACTTGTTATGTTTTGTTGTATACATTATGAGAGCCGACGGCTAAATATAATTTGTTATCGCGGGTCAAACCAGCCATGAGTAACTCAAATAGAACAAATATCAAAAATTGTTGTCTTTCATTTACTACAATCTTAACTATTGCTTTGCCTCAGAGGTTTGACGATCGACGAACGACAATCGATCGACTCAATGTACCCACACCCACATTCTGATTAATGTGTTTACCAGAATTTCTAATTTCCTTGGAATTTAAATATACTTTCGCACACACATGCATAGATACAAGACGAGCACGCGCCCGCCGCATTGCTGTTTATATGTAGTCTCTAGGTGCTCGCATATAGTATATACGATTTTACGTAGTTGCTTTTATATCTAATTAGAGGTGAGCGAAATTTCTTCTTCTAATACAGCAGGAACACGACACGAAACGTCGTAATAATACATACATATATTTGTTTATATATTATAATTATAATATATATGATTATTATAACTCATAAATATATCATTTGTCCAACTGTTGTAGCATTTCACATCTTCTAGTTCGCTATTTTCTGATCTGTATTCGTACTAGTAAGGGGCTCATCTCTAATCTATCCCCGTATGCAAGACAAACGAGTCATCGTGAGTCTGCGCCCAAGGGGCCTGACGAGGTTTCGTTCAAATTTTGGCTGGCAATTGCTGCTAATTGTAAAATTGCAAAAACAAATTCAAAGTCCGCGAATTCTCGAATTTGTTAATTGTTGCGCATTATCAGCAGACGCTAATTATTAACGCGAATTCAGATCTTGAATGAAATCGAGTGCAAAAAGTTAAGGTTACGGCGAGGGCGAGTTTCAAATATTTCAAACTTAGCAGTGTTGCCGTTTTTCCCGAGACAAAATAGCTGAATCAGGACAAGAAAAAAAAATAACAAAAATAAACTAAATCCCAGCTGAAAAATAAGCTAATATTTTAGAATGTTTTTTATTTTATTTTATTTTTTATTTTTTTTTTTTTTTTAACAAACATTTCATATTCATGAAAAACAAAACGAAAATAATAGAAAATTTAACATTATACATTTTAAATGTTTACATTGATGATAAATCTGCCAATAGATAGTCTACAGACTCTTCGGTCTCATAATAAAATATTCCTTGGTTGCGATCGATTTGAGGTAGTTTAGAAAAACTCAGTAATAAAAACATCATCGGATGTAAAATTTTAAAAATATTAGTTTCTGGTTTAATGAGGCTGTAATTCCTTAAACCTTTACCTTATGGTTGATATTGAGTTTAAGGTATCAATGTTCATTCTATTTCTTATTGAACATTTTATTAAATTGACTTGGCTAAGGACCCTTCAACTTCGGCATTCCACCAAGGTAGCGAATGTATGCGAAGCGCAACAGCAAATCTATCTAATCACTATATGTTAGAGAACTTGTGATGTTAGCCTCTAATAGTAGCCAGTTTGTTAGTTTGTCTATTAATCGCTAACTAATATCAGATATTCCGCTATCCGCGATTTCAAAATTTTTTCCGCAATCGCACTTAAAAATAAGCCAGATCTGGCCGAAAATAAGCCAAAATGGCAACACTGGATGGTAGCAGTATTTAAACGTTCTTTTTTATCTGAATATAATTAACTGGTATAATTGAATCACTGCTCTACACGCTTGATAATTTTATCGCATTCGCTGATAGTGCGGATAAAAAAGCGTGCTTCAGAATTAATGGCATTTTTTACTTCTTTTTTTTTGTTGTCAATTAGTGATACTTGGACATATTCCGCAATCACCAATAATTGCTGATAAACAATTTGCATTCGGCGTAATTAAGAGATCTATTGATCGAGGGAGACACAGAAATAGAGAGCGAGAGAAGGAGAGAGAGATAGTAATAGACCAGACAAAAAAAAAAGTTGAGGACAACAAAAAATTGCGAGTGGTAAGAGTAGAGAAAGAGATAAAGTGTACTTAGTTAATACATGAGAATCGTGTAGAAGGATTGCGAGTCAAATTACATAAATACCTAAGAATAAAATAAGACGGAGTAATATAGAAACAGAGAGTATCTTAGATAAATATATATAGAGATAAATGAAAGATAAAATGAAATAAAGCAAAAGAATTAACCGGAGTAACAGAGAAAGAGAGAGAGAGTGAGAAAAGGAAAGAGTTTGGAAAGCATAAACAGCAGTAAGGCTTGCTTTAATGCACGAGAATCGCATAGAAGAGTTGTGAAACAAAAGAATCCTTACCTGAATATTAATCAAATAAGACATTTCTCAAATAGGACATTTCTCTGTTAAGACTACTGATGTCGTTTCAGCTTTTTTCCCCGTCAAATTGGGGTTTTTTCAAAGTCGGATTGCGTGAAGAATTGAAAAACAGCGGGAAGCGGGAATTCTCCCAAATTATCTTTGATTCTGATTTTCTAAAACTGAACGATTTGGGTGTCAAACCCGATTCCACGACATTATCACAAACGAAGAGCAAAATATTTATATACAAATATGTATATACATAAAGGTAGTAATCAGGAGTATAAAAGATCTACAGCTATCTAGTTTTTGAGGGAGGGCGTAGAGCTCGCACATATTTTAGCAAACAAGATTGGATTGGATTATTTTTAAGATGTACGTCATTTAGGGGAGTTTCAGAAGGAGAAACTTTGATTTCGATTCCAGCACGGATTATTGGGGATTGGAATACTTTCAAATTAGTCAAAACAAAATAATTCATATAATAAATATGTATTTATAGTTTTTTATTGAAATTTACATGTGGTAGAAGTTGGCGTTGGAGTTGATAATCTCTGTGTGCTCGCCTAAAATGTTTTTTGTTTGTTTGTTGCTCTCGTTTGTATTGCAATTGTTGTTTGTCTTTGCTTATCAATTAGTACATATGTATATATATGTATGTATGTATATAAATATGCTAGTAGTTAGGTATATATGTATTTGTATTTGTATTGTTTATAGTTGTTTAATAGCTTAAGGAAGCGCACTTTGTTACGGCCTCTGAAACGAATTGTGGATCAATTCGTGTACAAATCTCTCTTACAGCTGCTGTTAACTATTTCACAAGTTTTGTTAAAGAAAACACAAACATGTTTGTTTCCGTTTTAATTGATATACGCAGGTGTCGCTAATCTCCTGCGCCTGTGTTAATTCTTAAAGCATATGAGTAAGCCAATTATTATTAAAATACTTAATTATACTAGTAGCGGCTGCTGCTGCTGATCGCCTGCTGCTGTTGCTGCTGATGGTACAACATTTACATTTGTAGTTTTGCTTGTTACTGTTAATTGTGCTAAATGAACTTATATATTTAGGTATGAATTTCTTGTTGTTGTCTTATAAAAGTACATAATATATATTTATATCTATTTATATATTTGTTATGTTAATATGCTTGTATGTGCATGTGTTTGTTATGTGTATGTGTGTGTGTTATTGCAGTTTTTGCATTGATCGTTTTTGATTTGGCGCATGCAATCGATTGCAGTCGCTTATCGATAACAGCAACGTCGAGGCATTCGCGGCAAGCAGTTCATAAATGCACATCTCAAACTATATACAACGACGATAACGAGCTATTATGCCAAATGTATGTAACGTATGTAAACAGATAGATGCATGTGCGCGTGAGTGATGAAGTTTTTCTTCTTCTTCTTCCGCTCATAGATCAGAAAAAGAAGTCCCTGAACAGAGATGAAGCAGCCAGACGGCCGCCAGAGGATTGCACGCTATAAATGATAAATAAATATGTTAAATGATTTGGGTTTACAGATAGGTACACAAACGTTTTGGCTGGTAAACAAATTCATGTTTATAATGTATACATAAATAGCTGCATTCGAAATTAATTCTATATAAATTGTGTGTGTGTGTATATAATGTGCAAATATATGATTTATAGAAGCTACGGCTAGCCGTAGTGGGCTCTCAACATTTTACTTATTTTCGTTTTTACATCTCTATATGTATGTAAACGTATGTATATAATTATGTGTATGTAAATGTATTTTTCAGATTCAGTCGTTTATGTTTGTTAACTAAAACTAGTTTGATGTATTGTTATTATTATCAATAGAATTATGTTAATGCAATAGTGCTGAGCTTAGTAACTGTTTTTGTTATTGTTGCTGTTGCTTTTTTTTTCATTATTCAATTTTTTTTTTTCGTTTTTTGTTTTTAAACTTGTATGAATTGTTTTCTTTATTTTGTTTGTTAAATTGTTGCTTCATTTAAATGGCCCTGCACTTGCGCAACTGCAGTTAATACAGATTTTATTGTTTTTGCATTTTCTTGTTCTCATTTTGATTTTATGAACTCGCACGCGCATTAAAAATAAATATATAGATTATATGCATACTTAATTGTACATAGAATACTTTAAGAAATACTTGTTTTTTGTTTTCTCTTGTTGCTGTTTTTTTTTGTTTTGTTTTGTTTTTGTTTTTTTGACACTTATTAATCATTTAACTAGTGTGGAATGTGTTCGCCTCGTTGCCTCGTCGAAGATCTAAAGTCACCATATTTATTCACATTTTGCTGGAATTGTCTTTTAAGCAGATACAAAATAATTAAAAAATGTTCAGAAATCGCATTCGATTCACCGACATTGACATTCCCACCAAAATGAGCATTTCGGCTGCCGTGCGAGCAAGACGGCAGATCTCTAAATATATGTATGTATGTTTGTATATATATATGTCTATGTATATATAGTATATGTCTTAGATGTATTAAAGTTCTTGGCTTAGTTGCGGACAATTTGCAAATACTTGTTTAGTTTTAAGTACAATTGTGAACAGCGCTTCGTTCAGAGGAAGCGCCAAAAAGTTGCTAAGGGGAAAAGGGGGCACTAAATAATTACTGAAACTAATAATTAATACAATTATTAAAAGCAATCGTTTTTCTACAATCATAAAAAAAAACCTAAAATTAATTTAATACATTATTCAAAAGAAAAAAAAACGCGTTTAAAATAGCTGCCAAACATTGGCATTGGAGGACATTGCAATAATTTAGAAATAATTTGTATGTATGCGTGTGTGTATATGTGTGCGTGCTTGTGCTTTATCTGAGGCAAAGCACATATCAGGATAACCGCTTGGGTCTGGAACGGATCGCTCACAGCGTGGTGCGGCTGGATCGACCGCCAACGGCGCCGGTGGTGCCGTTGGGACGATTGTGACGTCGCTTGTGCAGGTAGAGGCCAGCAGCCTGGGCGAATGCCGAGCCGCATATCTGGCAGACGTAGCGCTTGACTTTGTCGTGGATCTGCTTGTGGTTCTGCAGATTCTTGGTGGACTTGAAGATCTTGCCGCAGATGTCGCACTTGAACTCCTCGTTGCTGTAGTGCTGCTTCAGATGGTCGAACAGACTGTGGCGGGACACAAACGATTTGCTGCACTGCGGATAGTCGCACTTGTAGCATCGCTCGCGCTCATCCTGATGCACAATGCGATGCGCGTTGAGATGGCCGGGCGAGGCGAACGTGCGATGGCATACCTCACAGGCGAACGGCTTCGGGCCGTCCGGCGGAAACATATCCTCCTCCTCGCCGGCACCCACAATGGTGGTCCCATCGCCGCCAGCTCCGTCGACGTCCCCACTGGCGCTGTCCAGGATGCTGTGGTTCAGAGCCAATGTTGGCAGGAAGAGCTCATCGTTGTGGCGACGCAAATGCTCGTCATAGTTGGACTTCTCCCGAAAGCTGGCCGTGCATAGTTCGCAGTTATATTTGACCTCGTGGCCGGCGCCCAGATGCAATTGCTTGTGATTCTCGAACTCGTCCGCATTGTTGAACTGAATGTTGCACACGTTGCAGTAGTAGCCGCCGCCCAAACTCGGCTGATGGCTGAGCATGTGGAGATCCAGTTCCCGTAGCGTTTGCACAATTTCGCCGCAATGCTGGCACTTGAATGGCGGTATGTCATCGTCCATGAAGCTCATCTGATCGTAGTAGATATAATTCGGTATGAATTTACGACCCATTCGCTCCGCATTCAGACGTTCGCTCTTCTGCTTGGAGTAGTCGAAGCGCAGCTGCGAGATTCGCTTTGATATCTGTATGGTGGTCACATCGATCAGCTGCTGCAGTTCCATTGCCATCTGCTGCAGGCCCTCGCCCCGGCGCTCCTTGCTCCGATAGTCCGGGTCGAACCGATTGTAAAAGCACTGATAACGCTTCACCATCACCAACAGCTTCGCTGTCGACGTATCATTCCAAATGGCCGAGAAGCGACGTCTGTATGACGTTTCCTGCGAACGAATACACAATTAGTTATCTGATTATCCTACAAAAATATAACTAGCGAAAATTTGGTATTACTTCTTTTTTTGGGAGAGATAAAAATGATGTATATATAAATTAAATTAGTATTTAATGTAATTGCAGTGATTATAAAGCAATGCAATAATTTAATTTTTACAATTGCTTTAATTACGTTTTAGATATATCTTTAATAATATATCTTTACATACTTATCTTTACATTACTTAAGTACTCAAATCAGTTATCAATTTGTTTATAGGCAAAATATTAAAAATAAAATGGGACTTAAGACTATATATACGATAAGCTTATTTAAATTGATCAGATATATTATTATGAACTAATATATCTGATCAATTTAAATAAGCTTATCGTCCATGTATTATTCAAGTTTTATAAATTTTCATTGCTCTCGAAACATATTCAGCGCTAATATAAATCGTTTTTTATCTATCTCTATCTCTATTTATATATAATAATATATATAATCTATTTATCTGTTTGTGAAACTATCAAAAACCGGTCTAAGACTGGTTTCTAATGGGGCACAATATCTGTCTTGAAATAATTAAAGAAAACAAATATGAATCATATTTCTATATAAAAGTTGGCTACAAATACGAAAGATGTTATGTGACAAAGACTGGGCAATAAATTCAAATTAACTTATGCACTGACAATCTTTTATAGATCTGAGCTGTGTGAAATCAAAAATTCTCTGAACTGATATTCATTATGATCAGATACATTATGATGAATATATTTTATATGTATGCAGTAATCGATACATTTTATATTATAATTAGCTGGGAAACCTGAAATATTTCATAGTCAGTGTAAATGAAATTCATTCTGAGTGTAACCGATCGCTTGATTCAAATCAGCTTTGTTATTGTTTTTATCATTTACGGTGTGCTCGATATCAGTTCCCAGTAGCTAATATAGACCAGCCGTGGAGTATTGAGTTACACACACATATATATATATATATTCAATAGATGGACTCACCTTCACAACGGCATCGGACATTTTCGAGTTATAGCTGTAGACCTCGTTCAGGAAATGGAGTTCCTTGAAGTACCACAGCGTGCTGATATTTGTCTTTTCGAGTGCCATGCGATTGCATTCCCGCTTGTAGACGGTGCGCAAATTGTCCCATTTGCGTGTGATGGCATCCTTGGCCAGGGAGATGTTGAAGCGGTTCTTGAACTCGAGCACAATCCAGTCCAGGAAGCGGGCACGCTTCACACGATCCCGGAACTGGGCGTGACTGTGATCCCAAAGGAATGGATTTCGCTTGTACGAGTGTATCAGGAATTGTATCATCTTGCGATCCTTGATGTGCATGGTCAGCTCACGATCCCGCTGCAATTGCAATCACAAAATGAACATGGGATAAGAGCATAGATTCAGTGCATGAGCTGCACAGGACTTACGCCAATTAGAGACTCCTCAACCATTTCGTCGTAGCTAAGGAAATCAGATTCACCAGCCAGAGGATTGGTGCCTTGCGCATTGTAGCTGCTGCTGCTGTAGTCCTGATACTCGCCGGAATTGTCGTCCGCATAGCTCTCGCCCTCGTTTTCGCCGTACTCATCCATGGACTCATCGCCCTCGTTGGGCAGGGGCTCGCTTTTGACATGTATTCTGGAGACCATGTGCCGGGCTGGGTGTGGCGGTGGTCCTCTCAGCTTTATCCGAGGTCTGGCGCTTGGTGTCGGCACATCGTTTTCGGGCAGTATTGCTTCGCTCTCATCGTCGACATCGTCGTTATCATTATCATCGGGCACTGGGAGGTTGTTGGGGTCTTCCTCCTCGTCGTCGATGTCTTCGGCGTCGTCTTCGTTGCTGCTGTCCAGCTCTTGCAGCTCCTGTTTGATTACCATTTGGGGCTCCAGCAGGGCAGTGTCTGCGTCGGTCAAGTCTTCGATCTCATCAAATTGGTGCATGCCATTGTTGGCGTAGTCGTGCTGCACATCCTCATCATCGTCATCGGCTACGCCCAGCGCCATGGGCTGGCTCATGGGGTAGGACATGTTGGCTCCCGTGGCGGAACCAGAGCCCTCCATCGTGCGCTGCGCGTCCTCCATGTGCACTGTTTGCATGTGGCCAATGAATGCATCGAAGTAGAGAAACTTTTCGCTGCAGAAAATGCAGCACAAGGCGAACGATTGAAAGTCCTCGGTGGCCGTCACAACGCCACAATCCTTTGTGCATTGACGAAATATTTCCTCATCATTTTTACGTGGATATGCCAACACACTCATCGTGCCCCACACGAGTTTGATTATCCCACCTCGAACAGTATCTTTTCTAGTTTTTTGGCGTCCCGTTGCACGCGGGATATGTGTGAGCACTGCACTGATTTAATTTTTTGTGTTAATTCCTTTCAACTAAAAAAAAATTGTCGCCGAATTAGTTTCGTTTAGAGATGCGTGCTATGTATTGGTGTGTATATCGTTATCGGTATCGGAGCCTTATTATGCTAGCCAAATGGTTTAACAAACATTTAAAGCTGTGTGTATGTATATTTGTCACATCAAAGATTTGTTTATAATATGTCAGAATGTGGCCCACTAAATACATCAGATCCATAAACTCGCCATTTCAATTATTTAGCGGAAATAAATAACGCGGAACACATTTTTACTCTCCATGCGGAACACATAATTTAGATTTTGACTATATAATGTTATTACAGAATTTTCGGACAACTAGAAAAGCAAACATGTTTTTATTTAGCGCTGTCCACTTGCTAGTTTTCATTACTGAATGGCAGGGTTCACCGGACGGGCCTACCAATTATATCGATAGTATCCACTTGCAATGTATATATTGTACATACAGCAACATAATAATTAATGTAATAAATCATACTCAACTTTGAAAAAAAGTTGATAAAAGTACACAAAAGATACACTCATTTGATTTACCTAGTCAATAGCATTTTGTACACGAAATATATAATTCATTTCCATATTGTGTAAGCAGCATACTATCCTATAGTTGCTATATCGATAGAGCCATAAGTACTCGATTGTCTGTAGCAATTACTCACAGTGATAGCAAAATCGACTGCTTTGTGATTCTTCTTCAACAACTGGTCCGGCGTGTTTGTTGCACTTGCATTTAATTCTTTCAATTTAATATTTGTTGATAATTGAAATACAGAAATGGCTTCCATCAGCTTGTTGAACCCAAAGGCTGAATTTGCACGTGCCGCACAAGCTCTGGCAATTAACATCAGCGCTGCCAAAGGTCTGCAGGATGTGATGCGAACCAATTTGGGACCGAAAGGCACAGTTAAAATGTGAGTACATTAATTAAAATATGCATTTAAAGCATGACTTTAGTGCATGCATAGGGCATTAAAATCTTACTCAAAGTAAGCATTGTAATTAACAAACTTTTTCGGACATCTGTGCGGCCGCTACTCGAGTGAGGTTAAAATCGGTCTTGTTGCTTTTGCATAGCGGCATGCGTCATCGAGCGACTGAGACAGCAATATCGTATTTAGCCTACAAATCCAAGTTTTAAAACTTACATGCCTAAAAGAATTTGATAAATGAAACCTATGCTTAAACACTCGGTATGTTAAATGTTCAAACAAAATTTGCTTTCTGAGCGTCTGCATATTGAGATGCTCATACAGTTTTTTTTTGTCATTGTCATGCCTCACGCGCTTTCACGCACACATATGCACTAATACATATGCGAGCTCACGCAAACATATGGAGCCATAATTTGTTTGGATTCTCGAACATTCGCACATGATGATAGATAAACATCGATAAATCGATAATATTTGTTCTTATCAGAGTCCAGATGGCATTTTAAACTTGTCAGTAAATGGGTATTGCATGTGAGGATACATGTTAAATATATTATTGATCAGCACGAACCTTACATCTATCTTAATTGTTCTTTAATTGATAATTTCTTGCAGGCTGGTCTCCGGCGCTGGAGACATCAAGATCACTAAGGATGGCAACGTTCTGCTGCATGATATGCAAATCCAGCATCCGACTGCATCGATGATTGCACGTGCCAGTACAGCACAGGATGATTCCACAGGCGACGGCACCACCACCACGGTGATGCTAATCGGCGAGTTGCTGAAGCAGGCTGACATTTATTTGTCGGAGGGCTTGCATCCACGCATCATGGCGGATGGATTTGAGAAGGCGCGCGACAAGGCACTGGAAGTGCTCGAGAATGTCAAGGTGCCGGTCGATATCAACAAAAAGAATCTGATGGAGATTGCCAACACTAGTTTGAGGACCAAGGTGCATCCGTTGCTTGCAGACCTGCTGACGGAGGTTTGCGTTGATGCCGTGCTGACGATTTCTAACGATAAGAAGGTACCCATCGATCTGCACATGGTCGAGCTGATGGAGATGCAGCATAAGACCGACACGGATACACAGCTGGTGCGCGGTTTGGTCATGGACCATGGCGCACGTCATCCCGATATGCCCAAGCGCCTGGAGAACGCCTACATTCTGACAGCCAACGTCTCGCTGGAGTACGAGAAGGCCGAGGTCAACTCGGGTTTCTTCTACAAAACGGCCGCGGAGCGTGAGGCCTTTGTGCGTGCCGAGCGTGAGTTCATTGATCAGCGCGTGAAGAAGGTCATCCAGCTGAAGCGTGCCGTGTGCGACGGCACCAACAAGTCTTTTGTCTTGATCAACCAGAAGGGCATTGATCCCATCTCGCTGGACGCTCTTGCCAAGGAGGGCATCCTGGCTCTGCGTCGCGCTAAGCGCCGCAACATGGAGCGTCTGGCTCTTGCCTGTGGTGGCACTGCTATGAACTCGTTCGATGATTTGCAGGAAGAGCATCTGGGCTATGCCGGCTCCGTGTACGAGCATGTTCTCGGCGAGAACAAGTACACGTTCGTAGAGGACTGCAAGAATCCGTTGTCGGTGACAATTTTGATCAAGGGGCCCAACAAGCACACAATTACCCAAATCAAGGATGCCATTCGGGATGGTCTGCGCGCCATCAACAATACCATTGGCGACAAGGCTCTGGTGCCGGGCGCTGGCGCCTTCGAGGTGCGTGCCTACAACGAGCTAGTTAAGTATAAGGAGAGTGTTAAGGGCAAGGCCCGTCTGGCCGTGCAGGCGTTCGCCGATGCCTTGCTGGTCATTCCTAAGACACTGGCTGTCAACAGCGGATACGATGCTCAGGACACCATTGTTAAGCTGACGGTCGAGGATAGACTAAGCCCGGAGCTGGTCGGTATTGACCTGTCCACTGGTGAGCCCATGAAACCCTCTGACCTCGGCGTTTATGACAATTACATTGTCAAGAAGCAGATCCTCAACTCCTGCTCCATCATTGCCAGCAATTTGCTGCTCGTCGACGAGGTGATGCGTGCGGGCATGACCAGTCTCAAGGGCTAGTTCTAATTAGCTGGTGTCGCCTCTCTGAGTTTCATTATTATTATTAACCAGGCTAACTTAAACTACACCCAAACACACGTACTCACAAAAAAAATCAAACAAACAAATCAGCATACGCACCCGCCAGAACAACTAGAACTCAAATAAGTATGATTTGTCGTCATCACTGATTCGATAACATATCGAACTAACTGCAGGCGCTGCTACAAATGCTAAACAAAATATCTGAACTTCATCAAGTATTTCTCTTTTTTTTTATGTCACTAATGTTTACTTAATACGAACCATTGGTTTAAAAAATAAATTAAAAATCATTTCAATAAGACACTGTTTTTTATATGGGAATCAAATTCGCCTGTGTATTGGAATTGATTGGAATTGGGGAAAGTCCAATAGGATATGTGAAAACAAAATGATTAATCCAACAAGATTTGAGTATCGGAGGATATTCAACTTTGAAGGCAGAGATGAGGCATTTTCGTTTGTATTATCATTCTTTATTATCATAAATAGATTTAAATTAAATAAATGCAATACAATTAAGCACAATTTCATTGTACAAACTATGAAATTAGTTATTTTTTGCTTGATTTCTGATCGCTCGTTGTTTTTCTTGTTTCTCTTCATTTTGTTGATTGCTTTTTTATTGCCTTTAATTGCTTCTTAAACCTTCTTCTCTTTTTTTTATATATTTTTTTTTGTTTTTTATTTTATATTGTTAAATTAAATAAATGTGAGTATGTGCGTGTGTGTGCGTTTGTATTTGTGTGTGTATGGGAAATTAGTAGGACTTGCATGAGTGGGCGTATGTCTGTGTATGTGTATATGTGTGTGTGTGTGAGTATGTGCATCTGCGGCCGCAGTCTCTATACAAGTTACAAAAGCGAACGATCGTTAGAGCTTAAAGCTCACTCCATACCTCTGTCTCTGTCTCTGTCTCTGTCACGCGCTCGTGCTGCTACTTGGCCTTACGATTCAGCGTCTCTTTCGCAACTTTATAGAAAGTACGCGCTCGCAGTTCTTTTCATATGCGATTCGTTCCTCCTTCGCGTTCATTTCTTTTTTCATTTGAAAAATTTGTTAAATTAATATTCGCATTTAAATGTAAATGTGCAATTCGCTTTCTGCTTTGTCTACTAAACGTTAGAAAATAAGTTTATATAAAAAATAGGCTAAGGCTGGCGCATTCGCCATGCCAGTTTGCTGCAAAATAACTCACGTTCTAAATCTAAATAAATATAAATAAATAAATTGTATATATAGTTATTAATGCTCACAAAAAAAAAAAAAAAAAAAAAAAATATACGCTTGTCAGGCAGCTGCTCTATGTTTATGTGTGTGTGTGTGTGTGAGAGTGAGAGAGAGTGTGGAGACTTTCTTTATCTTCCTTGTTCTCAATTTCTCAGAATTTCGTTTCCCATTGCAAACCGAAGCTAAGGCTCCGTTTCCTAATTAACTGCACTGTTGCTCTCATTGCCGGTTTCTCTCTCGTGAGAGAGCGCTGAGCGCTGACAAGCGTGCCATAGGCGAGAGAAATAGACATAGCGTGTGAGAGAGTAGGCTTGAATGTGTGTGTGTGTATGTTTGTGTATATATCTCTGTATGGAATGGTGACAATTTGTGTGTTCTGTATGGTTTTTGTTTTCTTTTTTTCCTCTCTTTACTTCACATTGCTTGCAGTGTTGTGTTGCGCCTTAACTTATGCTACGATTTTGTGCGGCTGCATCCACTTCTTCATGTAGTAGCAGAACAATGTGGAGATGTAGAGCAGGATCATGAGCGCGCAGGTAACGGCCAGCGCCAGCACAGACGTCTTCGTGGGGCATGGCTCGATGATGGTAACGGTCTTGTCTGCAGGCGAAAAAGAGGCGGAATGATTAGAAAAAGTTACTCTCTGGTGTATGGGAATGAAAGGAATGACGGGATAGAGAAAGATGTGGACAGTTGATTCATTAGATAGAGATCGCGAAAGAGAAGGAGAAAAAGAGTTTCTACTTGATGGAACAGATACAGTAAAAGAATTAGTATTTGAGGTTAGGTTAGAGAAAAAGAAAGAGAGATATATAAAGTGAGATATGATGAGTGAGATATATTGTAGAGAATTTAAAATTTGAGGCAACATGATAGAAAAATATGATTACAGAGCTAGAGGCTAGAACCGTTTAGATAAGACCCATATACATTAATTTCTATACCATATAGTCTTAGCTCTGTTATTTACCTTTGGCAAAGTCCGTGCTTGGATCTGCCTTGAAGAATTCACGCTTCTCATCGCCAAAGTCCAAGACCAAAATCTCCTGCGAAATGTTCATATGGTCCTCGCTCTTGGTGTTGTTGCTAAAGAGGAAGAGAGAAATATTTGTATATTTTGTACATTCTTTAACACTCATTAAATACTCACCTCTCGATCGAACGACGACGCCTTCTTCCTAGAGACTCAAACGATTCCATGTTCCATTCGCACACGGCCGGCTCGCAGGGGCCCAGACAGTACTTGACGTTGCATTGGAAGATGACGCCGTAGCTCTCGGTAAAGCGGAATGCCTCATAGGTCGACTGCAGCGCATTGCCATCGGCGGTGAAGCCGGGGAAGATGGTGGGATCTGTGGGGCAGCCATCGTCGTCGATGATCTTGAAGCTGGTGCGTGCATCCTTGGCCATGGCAACACAGCTGCGTGCGAAGATGCCATAGGGAGCTGAGAACGAGAGAGGCAACATTAGCAATGACCTCCAGGCTGCTAGGCACTGCCAAGCTGATGTACTCACTGTCTTCTGGTATTTCGATGCGGAAGTTGAGACGATCTCCAATGCGCACAGTTTCCACCTCGCGCTGGCGTGTGTCCAGGATGCGAATCCTTGGTGGTGGCGCCTCGGGCGACGAGTTGATGTGAATCATGTCAGGATCGCGGATGGGCATCATGCCGAAGGTAATGTTCTTAGAGCTCATGTCGTATGTGCACTTCACCTTGTAGATCTTATCCGCCTTGGTCATCACGACGCTGTGGTGCTGCAGCACCACCGTGTTCGAGTAGACGCCGGTCTAGGGAGCACATTCATGAAGTTATTGTAGGCAGCTGTCTCGATTCATTAACTGAGCTCCTCCACTTACCACGCTCTGTGTGTTGCAGTCCTGTCCGATCATGGTTAGATCGAGGCGGAAGGCATCTGAGTTGATCACATCGATGTTGCACGTCTCCGAACGGCCCAGAGCGTAGATGCGTCCGTTGAATGGCTTGTTGGTGCGCACCTGTACGGCGATGCGGGTGTCCTTGCAGTGCACGGAAACTAAGGGTGGAAGGAGAGACCGGAAAAGAGAAAGAGAGAGAGAGAGAGAGAGATGCAATTAGAGCCTGGCTCCATTTGGTGTAGCTAGAATTACCCACCATCATAGCAGGTGCCGGTCTTGTCGCAGTTGACATCGTTGCGCGTCATGTTGGTCAGGTTGGGGTCCTCGATGGTGTCCAGGCTGACGGGCAGGGTATCGATCTTGTCCAGCGTGCCGGGTGGAGTGCTGCCAGAGCCAGCGCCAGGGCTTGCTGCCGACTTCTCGCACTGGTTCTCAAAGTACTGGCCAATGGGCTCGCCGTGATCGATCAGGGGGCGCTCGTGGTTCAGATAGGTGGATGGACCGTCGGGCAGGGTCTTGTGGTCCAAGTGATACAGCCGGCAGTTGTACTGAGCGCCTTGGGGCTGGCCCAGGTAGAGGAAGGAGCGGCACAGGAATTCCGACTCGATTTCGCAGGCCAGGCGGCAGGCCGACTCTGAGGTCACCTGCAGCTCCTTGTCCGTGTAGTAGTGCAGACCGACATATTGGGCCACCTTCTCCTCGGAGACGCCCATGCGTGCATTGGCAAAGGAGCGCGTGTTCTTGCAGGCCTGGGCGGGCTTCAGGCACAGATTCTCAAAGTAGTCCGTGCCCTGGGCATCCACCAGCTGGACGAACTGACCCGAGCTGCGGCGATCTGAGTCGCTGAGCACGCACTTCATGTTATTGTAGTCGTATTCGACGGAGCGGCAAATGAAACGCTTCTCGTTCAAGCAGGCGGACAGACAGGCCTCCTTGGTGCTGGTATAGATGAGGGCGTTGTCCAGGCCGCGGATGATCTTGTTGGGCACGCGCTCGAACGACCACGGGCGATGGCAAACGTTCTCGCTGCGCAGCTGCAGCTTCACCATGTAGTACATGTTGGCGGACCGCTGGGGTGCTGCGGATGGATTGGCTGCCGACGAGTCGTTCTGCAGCTGGCAGTGCGTCTCCTGCGACGGCGACAATGGATTCACGACAAAGCTAAAGGCGGCCGCCTGGCAGTCGGCCTCCTCGCGGCACCAGCCCTGGCACTCGTACAGCGACAGATTCTTGACGCTGTAGTACGTGGTGCCGGCGAAATCGTAGTCTGTCAGCTTCTCGAAGGCCATGCGGGCCGCGGCCTGGCCGGGCAGACCCATCAGCATGGCCAGTCCCAGCGCGAGGAGCAGCATCCCGTTAGAGATCGTTCTGTGTGTTTTGCTGCCTCGACTCCGGCTGCTGCTGCTGCTGCTGTTGCTTGCTGCGGTTTGCATCTGTAAGTGAAAGAAATGAAAAAGAAGAAACGCCGATTAGTCGTGGCTTGTGGATCTCTCTTCGCCGCCAGGTGGCGTTTGGTGGCGGCGTGTGTTGACAGCCATGCAATACATCCGCTCCATTACACGCTTAACCGAGTCGCGAATCAGCGAACCAATAAGAACAAACGGCCAAGACTTTTGTCTTCAGTTCGTTGCCTGCATTCGCAAAGCGTTTAATGAGCTGCCCGGACGGAAATTACAAATGGCATGGAGCGGCGTTCCACTTGTACGCTCATCCCCCCTCCTTGCCCCACCCAACCCTCTCTCACTCTCTCTCTCTCACTGTCTTTCTCTTTCTCTTATCGACAATTTGCGGTTTAGCGAATTCTAATGCTCGAAAGTTGGAAGAAAAACTGGGGCCTGACATTCCTGCGGCTTCCAGTCGAGCGTGCTGCAAATTGCTTTTTGCGGCTGACCCCCACAAATGGGGCAGATGCGGGGGCGCGCACATTGACCTGGCTGGCGAAGCGGGCTCACTGAAAAGCGAAAGCCCTGCCAACGCCAGCTGCCAACTTGCCAACTCATTCGCATTAATGGCGCAAATGAATTCACGACTCGAGTGCATGAATGATTCGAGTGCGCACTCACACGATTATCACCATTCATCCGCTCGTTCGCTCACTCGCCTGTTGAATCAATCAAGCGGACCTGTCAATTGACTGCAAATACATTGGGGTATTATCTGTTGAGAGCCGTGAGTTGACTTGGCTGTTGCGGAGAGCTCAAGCCCTAACTAACATATTATCTAACTGTTTATTTGGTTAAGCTGCCTTTCTTGTCGATTCCATTTGCAATCTCTGCTGTAAATCGTGTGACTAGGCTTTTTCTAATATTCAATAAGAATATCATATCTGATGTTCTATATATCAAAGAGACTAGTAAGATCAGTTCCCTGGTAAGATCAAATGTGATCTTTTCTTTATGCATGGGGGAATACCGGAATACCGGCTTTAGATCAAAGCAAACATAAAACTTCAAATGGGAAAAAAGTCTTTCCAGGCACCCAATGCAGCTCCATCAGGGCATGGCTCGCACTCGTATTGTTTATGGAGCATAAAATTCTGTTTAATTCACTTGTTATTCAAGACTATTTCAGCTCATCAGCTCATCAGCTCAACGTGGCACTCGCAATGTATTCATTTGCATTCGAGTGCCCGCAAATGGAGATGCGGAAGTCTATTGACAGCGTTGCCATATTTGTGTGGAAAACGATGTTGTTAGCAGAGTGTCGATAACGATTAGCGATAGCAATGCCGATGAGCAGCTGGCGTTGCGTTTCAAGCATTCATTTGGCCATTCAATTTATGGTTTCTTAAACGCCCCCAATGATGGGGCTCCCTGGCTCCCCTGGGACGGACGGTCGGCATGGGCCATGCAATTATATTAACATATTCAATTCAATTTGTTTGCTTTGAACTGTCCCAGGCAAGTGGGCAGCCAGCCAAGCGCAATTATTTATACGACTGCATTTATTTTATTGCCGAGGCCAGGCCGGGCGAGGCGGGCAGCTGGGCGAGGGTCTCTCGAATGATTACAGCGTAGGGAACGTGGCTATTACAAACAATATTAACTCAGAGCGCGCGCAACGAATGCGAGCAATCGTTGCCGCCATGTCCAATTGCAGCAGCAGCAGCAGCAGCCGCAGCAGCCGCAGCAGCAACATGGCAAACATGAGCAACATTGACAACGACAACGACAACGACAACAGCAGCAGCAGGAGCAGCAGCAGCAACAAATGTATGAAATAGGTGGCAAGCAGAGGTCGCGGAATGTGTAGCGTGTTCTCAGCCAACGCGACAGCAGCAGAAGCTAAAAAAACCAGCGACAACAACAGCAGCAACAAGAGCTGCAACAGCAGCAATGGGAGCAGCAGCAGCAGCGGCAACAACTAGAACAGCAACAGCAACAAGAACTGCAACAACAACAAGAGCAACAACAGCAACAGCAGCCACCACCAGCATCGTAGGGAGTCGCCTCTTTTTTAGCTCTGTTGCTGTTGCTGTTTTTTTTTTTTTTGCCTGCTGCTAGTTCGTGTTGTACAATTGGCAATCTGCATGAGAATCCCATCTGCAGCAGCTGCGGCTGAGAATGAAATGCGTTTGAATTGCAGCAGTGCACAGGGAGCCAATTACATGGCCACAGTCGAGCGATCTGCTTGCCCAGATAAAATGCAGAGCGCATGCGTTGCGCATTTGACGTCATTGCCACCGCGTTGCCTGTTGCAACTAGCCAACTGGCAACTGGCAACTGGCAAGTGGCAAGTGGTAAATAGTAAATGGCAAGTGCTGTCTGCTGCACAGTTCACGATTTGGTTTATTTATAGTCCGAATTGAGTTTATTTTTGGGGCGTCCTTGGCTTAAGCGCAGCTCACATCTAATTTGACTTGCAACCGACAATGTGGCTGCCACATTTCTGCTGCAATTGCTGTTGGCTGTAATTGCAATTGATGTTGTTGTTGCTGTTGCTGCTGTTGCTGCTGTTGCTGCCACTTGGCACTGGTAGCTCGAATCAGCTGCTAAATGTCGCCTCTAGCTGGCAGGAAACGGCAGCTGCTGCCATTGCAACATCTCACATACATACATACAAACATATGTGCATATGTGGCGCCACGCAGCAGCACCACCGAAATGCTCCCAGTGTTTGGGCTGTGGCGCTGCTCGCACCACATTGACGCACTGGTGGGCGTTGACCAGAACCCGGAGCGTTCAATCAGTGCGAAGGCAACTAACGCTGATAAAAACAACAAGCGAATGTGCTAATGGCGAGCATACACGACATGTAGATACCCTGTAGCATGCTCTGGTGCTAATAGAGCGTGATAATATGAGGGCGAAATTCCAAGAAAATATTTCAATTATTTGATCTGTCTTAAATGGATGCACCAGCCACAGATTTCAGGTTTGTGTTTAGTGAGCAGCTGGAAGCGGCTTCAACGGAATAGTGATAATAATCGATATTTATCGATTTCGTTTAAATGGATGTATCTAGGCATGGCATCATCGCTTTCAGGCAGCGTTGCTCCTAACATAAATGAAACCCTCACTATTTATATTTATGTTATATATACTACCCCTTCTTGAATGAGTACAGGGTATAAAAAGTAAAATATGAGTGCAATATGCGTTGCTTGGCTTGTGAGCGTAAGTATGGGAATGGGAATGGGAATGGGTGTGGGTTTTCGTATTGCCACGATCATGGACAGAGCTCGGAGTATGGCTGCTTGAGTGTACTCATCCCAATCTGCTGTTGGCTCAGTTAGCTGCTGCTCGGCCTGGTCAGTGGCGCGTACTTAGTTAGATGGATGGTGTAGAGCCGGGTAACCGGCAATCAAGAAAATTGTACGCTTGCCCCCCAATGGCAATGGCAATGCCAATGTTCTGGGGGAGGCTGGGAACGGGCGCTCACTACGTTTGGCCTCGCCCTCTCTCTCTCCTTCTACCTCAACCTCTCCCTCTCTCTGTCTTTCTCCTTCTCTGTGAGCTTGGACGCCCTGTGGCTGAGCAGCAGGCAACAAGCTAAAGGTTATCATTAGGCACGTTTACTTCCTCCTCGCGTATGGCCTCTAATTACGAGGCAGCTGAGCAAGTGAATGCCACGGCCAGTTACAAGATAGTACTGGAAGAAGATGAAGTCGAAGAAGAACACGGAGAAGAAGAAGAAGAAGCAGAAGCAGAGCGACAACTACAGCAACACATGAGCAACATTAGATGAGCGTTAGAAGAAACAAAGCAAAGAGAAGGCGAAAAGAAAAGCCGTCAAAGGTCATTCCGTTAGCCCAATCAAAAAGAAATGCTTACGAACAAATGTTAAAAAGAGCCGCAAAAGAGAAGAAGAATCAAACATAAATGAATCATTATAATTGTTCATATAAAAATACCATGAAACAATACAGAACTAGCGAAAGAAGAAACGGTAAATTAGATGCCCGAAAAAAAAAAAACTGTGACAAAGCGAATGGAACAAAGCAGTGAAAGTAATAATATGCAATTAACTCAATTAAGATGAAACGAGACGACCCTCAAAAAATATATTTTGATCAAAGAAAAGAAATTTGCAAGCTTCAACGGCATTTTTGTTTGTTTGCCTTTTCTTTTCTAATCTTTTCTTCATAGATGGAAAGGCGAGAGACCAAACAGATACCAATACATACATATATACATACAAACATACACACATACTTACATATATACATACATACATACAGAGGAGTTACAGTTTTAATTGGTCTAAGCGAAGGCTTTATCACGGCTCTATAAATATAAATATCAATATCAATATGTAATTATGAGAAGCGCAGTTAGCCGACCCCTCGAGCTATTCGTGTCAATCAAATCGAATCGGGGATTCGATTTATTGTTATTGTTGTTGTATTCGGTCTTGATGTGTTTATTGAAGTGAGAGAGTGTGAAGAGTGGATAGAGATTTATGGGTTTTCAAGTAGCAGCTGAAAGCCGTCATAGGAATGCGGAATCGGAGCACTAGTTGATGTCTTGATGTAGATTGCAGTTTTGACTTTAAAATATGACTTAAATATTGGCAATTTACCCAGCACTACCAAACTGATATTCACGTGTTAGCCAACACTGCTAAGCATTTACTGAAAATTATAATTCGAATAGAAATCTTTGAAAGTCTTGAACAAAACCCTCACATGCAGCTGACTTTCCAGCTAACTCACTTCCTTTTGCTTGCTCTCTCGCTCACTCTTGCAGGCATCTCTTTCTATTTAGCTATTCTCCTTTCTTTGTTGTCTTTTTTGCATTTAGCCAACACTCGAAACTCGAGGCTTGACTCGTATCGAACATGCAAACTGTTCTAGTCGCATTCATGGCTCTCGTGTGATTGAGTGTGTGTGTGCGTGTGTGTGTGTGTTTGTGTGTGCAGACGGATGTCTGGGCCTTACACCTTTGGCGTTGCAATCGGTTCACCCCGTTGGCCGACTGTCCACTCGATTGGC